GAGAGAGAGAAAGCAGGGATAAAGTGAGAAAGAGAATATATTGGGATAGAAAGAGAGAGAAGAATATACTGAGAGAGAAAAAGAGGTGGAATATACACTAAGAGAGAGAGAGAGAAAGTCTTCCTTTCGCACCTCTTCCTCTCTCTCCATAATACTGGAGCTGCTGCCGCCGCTTCGCTGGAATCTCTCTCTCTCTCTCTCTTGCTCGGCCTTTCGGCTCAATTCGTCTAACCTCGTGAACATTCGTGTCCCAGGTTACAGACACTTTTACAAAGCCCAGTGCCGGAGACGATGATGACGCCAGTATAGAGACAAGTGCAAGTGTTTAATACAAAACTCGTGTTTGAAAATTAAAACCATTTTTTGCATTTTAAACACTCCTCACTCTTTCTTCCTTTTTTTTTTAGACGAAAGAAAAATAATATCAATGGACAAACAAATTTTTTTCTACTAGAGACACACTGAGTGCCTATATACACTTGCCGAAAAAGTGCGAGAAAAAAAATTCCTCGTGCGCGCAAACGGGATAACAAAGGAAAAAAGAGAGAGAGAGAGAGAAGACAAGACTGGTGTGTGATTTAAAGGGCCATCTCACAACGTTAAATTTTTTTTTCCTCTTCTCTTTCTATGTGTCTGTATTTGTGTCCGTGTGTGTGTGTGTGTATTTATCAGGAAAATGGAGTTTGCGCTCTGACAATATTTATTCTATCGGGTGACTAAATAGTGACTGATTTTTTTTTGTTTGTTCTTTTTATAATTGAAGACGATTTTAATTTTTCCAAAATAGAGACTTTTTTCACACTTTTTGGAAATTTTTGATAGAAAATATTTATATACACGTGTTAATGCGCGCAGACTCGTCGTATACGTGTCCGATTCGAGCCACTTGGAACAAAAACGCTTCGAGCATTGAAAATTGCCAGGTATTCGTTATTATATACTATGTGTATACATATATATATATATATATATATATATATATAGATATATTCTTCATTCTCCCACAAGTTCAACAAGTTCACTGTTCGAGATAAGGGGTATTATTTATTATTCTCGTTTCTTGATCTTGAAATCGAATTTTTTATTATTATTAATCGGAATGATGGTTATTTTTACACCCCGCCTCTAATTTCACTATAAACCTTTTTGGGGTAAATTAGAGTAAAAATAAATGGGATATTTTTTGTAAACAGTGCGAGTCCCTTTAAATTCAAAATGTGAGTAACAGATTTTTTTCCTTGCCATCTTTAAATGATCTGATTGTTGCGATAAAACGGTATATAAATTCTTGGTGGATTTTTCTTTCTGTTTTTTGAGGAATGAGGAAATTTAAAAAAATAGTTAGTTAATAAATTAATGTGTAAATGATAATAATAATAAAAGTAAATAATAATAATAATAATAAAAAGTAAATAATAATAACAATATTAATAATAATAAAAAGTAAATAATAATAATAAAAATAAAAAGTAAATAATAATAATAACAATAATAAATAAATAATATAAAATATAAATAAATTTAAAAATGTAAAGTAATAATAGTACCAATAATAATAAATAATAGGTATAAAATAAAATATTTAAATATAAAAATACAAAATAATAAATAAAAATAAAATATTTAAATATAAAATAATAAATGAATATTAATAACACATAAGTAATAAATGATTAATAATAACAAATAAAAACAAAATAATTATGAGCAAATAATAAAAATAAATCAAAATTGATGTATAATAAATAATAATAATAATAATAATAATAATAATAATAATAATAATAATAGTAAATAACAATAATATAATATTAACTAAATAATAATAGAGCAATAAAAAAAATAAATTAATAGTTTATTTTTAAGTAAATTATTAAGAATTGTTATGTAAAAATCGAGATAAAAATATAATTATAAAAAATGAAAATTAAATAAATTATAAATAAATGAAATAAATTACAAATAAATGAAATGAATATTAAATAAATTATAAATAAGTAAAATTTAAAAAAAATTAAATAAATAAAATAAAAAAAAATTGGTGAATAAATAAAGTAAAAATAAAAAAAATTATAAATAAATAAAATGAAAAGAAAATAAAAAAATTGTAAATAAATAAAATAAAAATTAAGTATATTATATAAATAAGTAAAAATATAATATGAAATAGAAATTTTTTTATAAAAAAATGCGATTTTAATTTTATAAATTTTTGTTATTCTTTTTATTTTTTATTAATCTTTTAATTTTTTTTTATTCCTTATTCTGTAAGTAAATTGCATTAATGTAAAGCAATTTTTTCTTTTTGGTTTTTATTATTTTTTTTTTAAATAAAAATCTATAATATATATTTTTATTTATAAAAAAGAAGACAAGATGAAATTGATAATTTCTTTTATAACAAAAGAAGTTAATTATATTTGAAAGATTGAGCCTTGGAAATGATTTACATTCAAAATGATGATGATAATAATAGCATAAATTATAGAACTGGTAGTATTCAAGGTCTAAATAATATTATAATTCAATTTCGATTCTATTGGAAAGTTTTATTGTTTTTTTTCTTCTCTATTCTTCAGTCTTAGATTTCTTATATAAAAAAAAATCGCGAGTTAGTTTCTTTTAATATTCTCTAAACTTCAACCCACCCCAGCCCCACCATTTTCTCTCTTTAAATTATCATACATTTTTTATTTTATATTATTTTTTAAATTTATATTCCTTTGTAAATTTAAATTTTATAAATTTAAATTAAAAAAACAAATTAAATCAAAATATTTTTATTATTTTCTCTTTATTTTTTTATATAATGTATTCTGTACATTATCTTCTATTTTTTATCGTTACCTATAATAAAAAATTAGTATTATTATTGTGAATTATTTTTATTATTAATGTCATAAATATTTTCATTATTTTTTCAATTTCATTATTATTATTATTATTACTTTACTATGTATCATGATTATTTTTATAAAAATTGAAATAAGTGACTCTTCAATTTTTATGAATCTATTAATAATTTAGAGATATTAATAATAACTTGAAGAATTAATAACTTTAGAGTAGAAGAAATGAGGAAAAATAAAATAATATTAATAGAAGTTAACAAAAATTAATTTTTTTCTTTAATATTTGCAAATATTGTGTGAACTTTTTTTTTGTTGCGATTTAAAGAATAATATTGCGTTTTTGATTATATTTTTCTCGACAAGATGAGGTATAAAAATTGAAAGCAGTGATATACCGTAAAAAAATTTTTTTTTTCCTCTCTCTCACTTGCTCACTCTCACGTTCTATTTCTGTCTCTGTCTTTTCCTGTCGTCAGCATTTATTTTGATATTGAAATCACTCGTGACGTATCGGTCCAAGAATTTATTGTAAAATTAAACATTAAAGACTGAAACATTATCCATTTTTGTGCGACTGATAAGATTCACTGGCTTGCATAAAGAAAAAATGAGAGAATGAGAGAGAGATAGAAAAAAAATCCTTCGAAAGATTAGATGCTATTCTCGTTTTCCTCTTCCATATATTAGAGAAAAAAGAAATATTTTTCACGTTTTCGAGATAAATTTTCTTCTTAAGAAAGACAAAAGGCGAGAGAAATCTCTCTTTGTTAAATTCATATTTTCCAGAAATAGTTTTTTTAAAGAGAAAAACGAATTTTAATAAAATGAAGAACGAAATTTTGAGGCTCTTTTGGTAAAAAATTGTTACGGTTCGTTTTGACAACATAAATCCCATTGTGGAATCACTATAAATGAAAGAACAAAAATTTTGAAGCTACGGTTCGTTTTTTGTAGTATAAATTCGATTGTACAATCACCCTAAATTTCGAGAAAAGAAAACAAATTTTAAAGTTGTGGTTCGCTTTTGACCATGTAAATCGTATTGTAGAATCACCTTAAATAGCAAAAAAGCGTAAGAATCACGGTTCCCAAGGGATAATATTAATCCTATTGTAGAATCACCTTAAATAGCAAAAATCGTCAGGATTATGGTTCCCAACCGACAAGATTAATCCTATTGTAGAATCGCCCTAAATACCATATGAAATCGTAAGGATTATGGTTCCCTATTGGAAAAAATCCCATGGTAGAATCACCCCAAATGACAATAATTCGAAAGATTACTGTACCCTAATAACGTAAATCTCATTGTAGAATCACCCTAAATACGGAAAAAATTGTAAGAATTTCGGACATTAATCCTATTGTAGAGACACCTTAATTGACGAAAAAATACGTTATTTTGTGGTTATTTTTAAAATAGAAATCCCGTTTTGTGTGTGTTCATGTATGTTTATTAAATTCTCAGTTAGGTTTATTGTGAGAAAAAGTGAAATCACTATAATTATACACATTGATGCAATCGTCGGAAGCAAGGACCGTTTGTTTCTATGAATATTTTCAAGGCACATATCCAAGTTCGTATATATTTCAATGCAATTTTACCGCTTCTGATTAAAAGTATGACCTTGTCATACCTTGTCATATTGGAAATTTTTTTTCTCTCTTTCTCCTTCGTTTCGCTAATTATCGTATTTTAGGAGCTTTAGTATTTATCTTTCTTGGTTTTTAATGCAAAAACTGAAAATTGAATCTGAAACGTAAAATTTAGGTTATAAGGATCAAAATGTAGAGGAAAAATTTAATGTTAGAGGTTATGTTTCTTTTTTGGCTTTCGTATCTTCGTATTTGGGGTTTTTCTATTGTATATTCACCATAAACGACGCATTGCTGAACTGTAGGTCCATTGTAGACTTACCATAAGTGACCAAAAAAGTAGTATTTTTCATAGGCCTGCGCAGAAGGAAAACTCTAAAACTCATATTTTTCTTTTTACCTACGAGAGAGAAAAGGATAGAAATATCTAATGTCCTTTTCTAGAAGAAGGCAAACGATACGTCTGTCCTTTTTTCTCTCATTTAAAAATTAAGATATTTTATTTTTTGTCTATAAAATTAAATTAATCGTTTGTTTTTTTTCTAATTTCAGTTGACAGATTGGGATCTGGTCAGACTGCTAACTCGCCGAGAGTGACTCTTCGTCTCAATCAGGTGCGAAGCACGAGGGATGAAAAGAAAAACACCTCCAATTCCCGTCAGGGTAGTGTGAACGCACAGGTATGTTCAAAATTTGCTTTTACTTCTTTGTTAAGGCCAGTGCACAATAGAAAGTGGTTCGTGAACGCAAAGCATGAGTTAGAAAAGGACAGAGATATATTGTCCTTCATCTCATACTTCAAGTTTGATTGTAGCGAAGCTATTGTGCATTGGCCTTAAAGAACATCTAGCTAAAAAACACCTATTGTAGAACCAGCTTAATTTAAAGCTTAATTCAATCGTCCAGGGACAAAATCAAATGGAATCCTCGAAGGGCTCCTCGGCCGTTCCTGCGAACAGTGGGAATGCAATATCACCGAGTTCAAATAGTGGTGGTACGTCATCATGGTCTGTCGACAATAACGACGTTTATGAGTTTAAAAGCTCGAAAGAGGCGACGCCGGTGAGGGGAGCGAGTACATCGCCCAACCCTGAGAAGGAGAAGGACGCTAAAACAACAGCCAATCAGGGTTCGGGTGGAAGTACAGTTGGCAGTGGTGGTGGTTCCGGTTCAAGTGCAACATCAACGGGCGAGGCTTCAACAACAATTGGCGGCATCGACGAGGCTTCAATGACAACGTCTCCATCGTCGAAGCGTCCCTTCGAGGGCGACACTACCGACGAGCAAGACGACGAAAATCGCAAAAAGAAACGCAAGGACGCCGAGAATAGTAAGGAGAACGCGAAGGGGACCACTTCCGGTCGGCAGGGGGCTGGACGCAGTGGTGCCAACGCCAGCGAGAAGGTATGGAATTTTGTTATTTTTTAGATTTTTTTCTTTTTAAACTTTTTTTTAACATTCTTTAACCTCTTTGTTTAGTTTCTATTCATGACTTTGAGATCAATGCACAATAGGAGTTCGAACGACTTTAGCGTCAACAGACGCTAAAGTCGTTCGCGCTCCTATTGTACATTGGCCTTTATTGTCCAGAGTTGTCTATTCGGACCTCTGGTGGTGACTATGAAAATTACTTTCAAAAACCCCTAGAAAAATAAAATCCCTAATAATTCAGTGTGAGCAGAGTTTTAACCTCTTTTTAAACTCCCTTTTTCAAAAAATTAACTTTTACCTTTATTTCTAGTGTACAAAAGCGGGTAAACAAAACATTGGCGCGCAATCCGGGAAGAATAGTCAAATTTCCGGTTCGACGAATTTGGATAGAAAGAGTCCGAGTGCATCGAGTCCAAAGCCGTCGACTGGCGTGGCGACGAGCACAAATCCAAAGACAACAACGACGCCAGCGCCACCCGAGTCGGATAGCGAGGACGGCGAGAGATCGAAATCTGACTCGGCGCCAAAAGTGCCGCCTTTGAAAATTGTCATACCGCAAAGTACGACTTCGGAGCAGGAGCAGGGCACTCGTAACGGGAAGAATACGTCGAATCGAAGTCATCAATTACCGTACGTTGTTGCCAGTTCGAATAGTAATGATTCGACGGAGAAGGATCAAGGGCAATCGGCCAGTGGTACGACGAGTCCAACCGAGAGTGGAACAACATCATCGAAGGTGGAGGATAAGAAGGATTTTAGTGGCGCACTACATGGCGAGGAGAGATCGACGCATCATCAGCGGGTCCTAAGGAGTTCTCATCGGTGAGTTACCCATTCCGCTTCGGCCTTCGATTTTTGGAATGCTGAGAGGCATGTCGAAGACCGAAGCGGATTGGAATCCTTAAAGGCCTAAGCACAACTGAATCGGTTGAGGGAGACGAATGTATGTAAATGTTACATATCCCGTACCCGGCTCAGCTGTGCTTAGACCTTAATTGTAGTTGGAGAAGGACGTAATACTATTGCTGTCCTTCTCCGGCCCATTCCGCTTCGGCCTTCGGTTTGGAATGTCCGCAGGCATACCTAAGACCGAAGCGGATTGGAATTGTTAGTTACAGTTGGAGAAGGACAGAATACTATTGCTGTCCTCATTCAACCCATTCAGCTTCGGTCTTCGGTTTTAATGTCTCCACAAGTAAACTTAAGACCGAAGCGGTTTGGAATGTCTATTATTAGAAATCAGCCCGAAGATACTTGCGTTTTAATGTATAGATCGTAGTGTCCTGAAAGTTGACTGAAAACTGTAGGGGCGCTGGATGTCCTCATGGCTGAAAATTAAAATTATGCATTGTAAACTTCCCAAAACACATATTCTTCTGAATTAAAAAACTTCATATTTTTCGTTAAAACTGTAAATCTTGTAGCAACTTTTAAAATCATAACATTTATGATAATCCTTGATTAATTTGACATTTTGACAAAAAAAAGTTTTTAACATAACCTGAAAATATATTAAAGAATTCACTGCGCAGACTCGAGAATTATATCGACGTTAAGAATCGAATACCTCGAACCTGCGTAATGAATTCTGTAATTTATTTGGAGATTATGTTATAAAAACTATTTTTGTGTAAAATTAAACAATACTTCTCATCAATATAATGGTTTTAAAAGTTGCTACAAGTTTTACAGTCTAACGTAAAATAAGAATATATGTAGACAAAAAGTTGTTCAATCCAGGAGAATATATTTTGTAAATTTCCCCATGCATTCTTTTTAATTTTGGCCTAGAAGATATTCAACGCCACCTATATTATTAGTCGACATTAATGACACTTCCAACTCAAGAGAATCTATAGGCTTCTAAAAATGAATCGAAAACAAAATACACTTGGTATTAGAATTTAGATATTGAAAATAAGACAGAAATATTATCAACCCCTTAAGTGCAATGGCAAAGAGTTGGGGCATCAAATCTTTACCAGGGCACTAAGGCGATTTTCAAGTGAACATAACCTACAAAAAAAGCCACGTGACGCATGCGCGTAATGCATGAGATGGAAGAAAACAATAGTATATCTCTATTCTTTTTCATCGTTTCCTTCCGGGGACAACACGCCCAAGACGCCACATCCATTACGTTCCCGAGTCTCTTGAGCTTAGGACGCGACGCTTAGGACTAAAGACCATTATTAATAAAAATGAAAACAGTTGATTACATTCTTTATATTTTGCAAAAGTGTTCCTTGAGCATTATGGCTAGATTGAGAAAAATGGGGCAAAATTTGTAAGTTTAACTTTAACTTTTTATTTAATACTAAAAATCGATTTTATATTTAAAATAGACAGTAAAAGTAGACTTTAGAGATTAATTTACAAGTATTTGCATATTCTGAAAAAATAATTAACAGGTTAAGTTTAGTGTGAAATTCTTTGAGATTTACGATTTTTACTATAATTACAGTTTGTAAATATTCAATTGTTAGTAAATGTGACAAACACTAAGTAAAGAGAGGCAAAAGGCGAAAATTTGTAGTTTGTGTTTATTTAAAGGCTTAAGCGTGCGCAATGCATTAAGTAGAAAAGAATAAAGATATATGTTTGTTTTTCTCTATCTCGTGATTCAAGAGAGCGCACAAAGTATTTCTTCGCAGAAATTCCAATTATTTTCAAAGTTTTTTTTAAATCCTCGTCAAGATTTCAATTATTTTCAAAAGAAATAAAATTTTTTTGCAGAACTTCAATTATTTTCAAACATTTTTTTAAAATTCTTGTCAACATTTCAATTATACTTATATAAATAGCAAAATTTTTAGTTGAATTCAATTAAATTCACAAATTTTTTTCAAATTCTCGTTAATATTTCAATTATCTTTATATAAATAGCAAAATTCTTAGCTGAAAATCAATTATTTTCAAAAATTTTAATAACATTCTTATCACAATTTCAATTATTTAAAAATCTTTTGTAAATTTCTTCAAAATAATTCCATTATTTTCATAAATAATAAAATTCTTTTTAGGAATTCAATTATCATAATAAATAATAAAACTCATCGCAGAATTTCAATTACTTTTAATTGAGTTTTAATAAAATTTCTCAAAAACTGATTTTTCTTAAAAATTTTATTAAAATTCAATTATTCAACAAATTATTAATTTTTGTATTTAAATAATTGAATTCTCGTAGAATTTTCTAATAAAAATGGATTGATAAATTAATTTATGTTAAAATTTCAGATAATAATTGAATATTAAAAGCATTATAGCGTGAATTTCTAGAAATAATTGAATTTTGAAAAGGTTTCAAATTAAAATCTTAGAACATCTGAAGTTTTCGTACTTTTAACTAACAATTCTGTAGAATTAATTTTTTTTAAATACCTATTTAATAAAATTCTTTAAAATAATTCAATTTGAAGGTTTTTTCCACATAAAAATCGTAAATTTTGTAAAGAAAATTAAATTTTTCGATAAAATTTGTTTAAAATTGTATTGAAAATAATTTAATTGTTTCAAGGAATTTTATTAAGATTTTCGAATTTTTGTAACTTTGCAATATTAAATTAAAAATAATTTAATTCTTGCAAAGAATTTTTTTAATTTTAGAAGTGTTTGAACTACTCCGAAGAATTTGACTCAAATTTTATAAATAATAGAATTGTTTTGAAGAATTGTATTAAAATTTAAAAAAATTGAAATATTTCAAGAAATTTTATTGAAATTGTATTGAACAGAATTGAAATAGAAATTTTGTCACAAATTGTCAATGGAAAATTTTTATCTTTTTGTTGAATTTTTTAAATACATATTTAATATTGTTCCAAAATTTTTGACGCGCTTCTTTGAAAGAAATCAATTATCTTCATAAATATCAAAATTCTTCCCAGAAATTTAATTAATTTCACGAATTGTAATAAAGTTAAACGGAAATATTCAATTATTTTCATAAATAAGAATATTCATCACAAGAATTCAATTATTTACAAAAAAATAAATTTTTTAGAAGATATTTAATTACTTTCAATAATTTTCTTAAAATTCTCATAAAGATTTTAATTATTTTCATTAATAGTAAAATTCTTCGCAGAAATTCAATTAATTTTAGTAAAATTTCTCAAAAGAATTCAATTTTTCTCTAAAATTTAACTAAAATTCTTTACAAGAATTGAATTACAAAAGAGAAAAAAAATTTCTAGAAAATTTAATTGTTTTCAAAGTTATTTAAATTTTTTCTTCGCAGAAATTCAATTATTTTTCGTAACATTTCTCAAGAGAATTCTATTCAAAATTTTTTAATAAAATTCTTTACAAGAATTCAATTACAAAAAATAAAAGAGAAACTTCTAGAAAATACAATTATATAAAAAATTCTTGTTCAATAATTTTAATTATAAATAATAAAATTCTTCGTAGGAATTCAAATATTTTTAATACAATTTTAGTAAAATTGTTTGTGAGAATTCAATTAATATTGGCAAAAATTTTGTATTTTTGTTGAAAAATAGGTTAATAAAAGGAATTTTGCAAATTTTTTTTCGTTTTCTAAAGGAAAATCATGAAGAAACTTACGATTGAGTAACTGAAAATGAGTTAAAGAATTCCAAGATTATTATAGTTAATTACTAATTAATTAATTAATAGTAAGAATAAATAGTAAATTTTTGTTTTTAATAAACAAATTTAAATTAGTATTTAAATAGTAAATTTGTAAATAACAAACATTTTTCTATGAAAACAGTGGAAACGGCGGGAATGGTTCAGCAAATTCAAAAGAATCATCATCGACAACATCGAGTGGCAATGGAAATTATTCAAATTCATCGCCACTGCCGAGTGCATCATCTGCTGCTGATCGTTCAAATAATTCATCGCCACAGCCGGCGAATTCCGAATCGGGCAATAATTCCGAGTCAAATGGCAAAGCGAATTCAACGGAATCGACAACAACGTCAAATACAAAGACAACGGCAATGGAGAAGTCAGAGAAGAACAGTGATAATGTTAAAACACAAAAGGATTGTGCCAATGAATCGTCGGATAATTCATTGACAGTACAATCATCGACGACGTCGACGAATGTCACGACAACAGCACCCGTTGAATTGCATCCGAGGAAGAGGAAAATTAAGCCCAATAAGGAATCGCAACAGGCGTCGGTCACAGCGTCCAGTGAAACATCAGAGGCGACGAGTTCGGGTCCCGAGGTCCATCCACACGATCAACCGATCACTAATTGTTATCAATTGTTCCTCAATATTAGAAAACAGGTTATTATTCTTTCATATTTTTTTATTTTTAAGTATTATTTAATTTTTCTTGATTAAAAATTCATTTTTAACAGAATGAATCGTGAATTTCAATTGAATTTTTCAATAACTTAATTTAAAAATTCTTAAAAAATTTTCAAATAGTTTTAGTTTTTTTTCATCTTTTCCACATATGTCATAAATAAATAAATAAATCGTCAAAAAAATAATAATAAATAATTCTTTTTTCAGATTGAAAGCAGAAGAAAGGGTCTATTTCCAGTTCAGCCGAAGCCACCGCAGGGCTTTAAGGATTATTTAATGAATCGTTGTACATATGTTTTGGCGGGTAATCGTGAGACAAAACCAAATGTTAATATACCAGCGGGACTGATACAACCAATGAAGGATCTCTATGTTGATCAGGAGAAATATCGTTATCGTTTAAGAATGCAGCATGTCGTTGAAAAGGAGAAACTAGTCTTATCGGTGGAGCAGGAAATTTTGAGGGTACATGGAAGAGCGGCGCGTGCATTGGCAAATCAATCGCTTCCATTTTCTGTTTGTACAATACTTAAGGACGAGGAGGTTTACAATGTCATAACACCCGAGCAAGAGGAAAAGGATCGTAATGCGCGCAGTCGTTACAATGGACGATTATTTTTGAGTTGGTTGCAGGATGTCGACGATAAGTGGGAAAAAATTAAGGTAAATTTTTGCTTCTTTTAAATTTTTAACTCTCGTGAGAAGGAATTTATTTTATTCGTTTTCTTTACATTTTTCCCTTTTTATAAGTATTTTTATATTTTTTGTATCTTTATTTTAGTATTTTCCGTATTTTTCGTATTTTTATTAGTGTTTTTATATTTTTCGTACATTATTATTAATAATAATAAATAAATCCCGAGTCACTTTAAAGGTAATCATTAAAAAATTGATTTCTTCTTGACGATGGGAAAAAGTAAACAGTAAATAAATTTGTTACGTGAAAACCGACTGATCTGTGCTTCTGACTGATTAGTTTAAAAGATCGTAATATAATTTACAAAAAGAAATTTAATTTCTAAAATGTAATTTTCAAAAATTTTATTTTTCTAAAAGTTTTCTCTTCCTGTAATGAATAAAATAGATAAATTTAATAATTTTAATTTTTTTTTAGTTTAGTTTCAGTTTTTTAAATTAGTCTTTTCAACTTTAAAATGTAAACGAAAAATTCACTTTGGAAATTAAGTGCTTTCTTTTAAACTTAAATTGAAAACGAGAAATTGAATTCGGAAATAAAGTCACTTTTTAAGTTTAAATTGAAAACGAAAACTTGAATTCGTAAATGAAGTGTTTTTTTTTAATTGAAAACGAAAAAATGAATTAAAAAATTAAGTGTTTTCTTTTAAATTTAAAATAAAAACGAGAAATTGAATTCGAAAATTAATTGTTTTCTTTTAAACTTAAAGTAAAAACGAGAAATTGAATGAAAAAATTAAGTGTTTTTTTTAATTTACATTGAAAACGAGAAGTTGAATTCGAAAATTAAGTGTTTTTTCAACTTTAAATTGATAACGAAAACTTGAATTCGGAAATTAAATGTTTTTTAAAAATTTAAATTGAAAAAGAGAAATCGAATTCGATAATTAATTGTTTTTTTTTAAATTTAAATTAAAGACTAGAAATTGAATTCGAAAATGAAGTTTTTTGAATTTAAATGGAAAACGAGTAATATTGAATTCGAAAATTTCCATTAAAAATATTTACATTTTTTTATCCTGGTAATAACTTCAATTCTTAGTTTTTCTAAAGTTGAATTATTTTCGAAATTTTTAGTTAAAGTTATTCAAAAATACGATTATGTTTAAAAATAATTTTTAAAATTAAAAAAATAACATGCCCTGCAATATAAAATTTATTTCAATTAAATTTGACAAAATCTTCAATTAATTGCAAATTTTTTCAATTAAATTATTCTTTCAAGGAATTTGAATTTAAAATTTTATTAAAAATAATTGAAATCCTGAGAAGAATTTTATTATTTATGAAAATAATTAAATATTTGCAACGAATTTTATGAATATTTGAATTGCGAGAATTTTATTCAAGCTTTTTTTTTAAGAACGTTGAATTTTTTTTCAGAATTTGTAAATAAGAATTTTGAAAATAAATTAATTCCTTTGAGGAAAATAATTATAATTGAATTGAAAAGAAATGAATTTTTATAAACAAATTTTATCAAAATTATAAACAAAATTTATTTCATTCACTAAATTTTATAAAAATTGTATTTCAAATATGTAATTGAATTTCTGTGGAAATTTTATTATTTATAATTGAATTTTATCAAAGAATTGTAATAAAATTTTGATAAGAATTTTATTAAAATTTTTTAAATAAATTGGAATTCTGCGAAGAAATTTTATTACTTTTAAAAATATTTAAATTCTTGTGAAGAATATTGTTAATTATGTCAATAATTGAATTTTTGTAAAGAATTTTATTAAAATTCCTGAAAATAATTGAATTCTTGCGAAGAGTTTTACTATTTATGAAAGTAATTGAATTTTCTACAAGTTTCTCTTTTATTTTTTGTAATTGAATTCATGTAAAGAATTTTATTACATTTTATAAAAATAATTGAACTTTTTTGTGAAATTTTACCAAAAATAATTGAATTTGTGAGAAGAATATTCAAAATTCAATTATTTTTATAAAAAGCAAGCTATTTATAAAAATAATTGAATTTTGGAGAAGAATTTTGCAATTTTAAAAAATAATTGAAATCTTAACGAGAATTTAGAAAAAAATGTTGAAAATAATTGAAATTCTGCGAAGAAATTTTTTTCTTTTAAAAAAATTTGAATTCTTGTGATGAATATTGTTATTTATGGAAATAATTGAATATTTCCGTATAATTTTATCAACATTTTTCTAAAGGAATTGAATTTTTTGGGAAATTTAATGAAAATAGTAAATATTGAAAATTATAGAATGGAGAAAAATTTTTGAAAATAAATGAAATCTTATTAAAATTTTTGAAAATAAATAAATTTCAGCGAAGAATTTTGCTATTTATACAGATAATTAAAATCTTAAAGAGAATTTTTGAAAAAATTGTAAAAATAATTGAATTTTATCAAAGAATTTCTTTTTTCATTTTCGAAAATAATTGAAATTTTGATATGAATTTTATTAAAATTTATGAAAATAATTGAATTTTGGCGAAAAATTTTGCTATTTTAAAATGATAATTGAAATCTTGACAAGAAATTTTAAAACAGTTTTGAAAATAATTGAATATCTGCGACGAAATTGAAAATAATTGAATTTTGAAGAAGAATTTTATTAAAATTTTTGAAAATAATTGAATTTTGGAGAAGAATTTCGCTATTTAAAAAGATAATTGAAATCTTAAAGAAAATTTTGAACAAAATTTTGAAAATAATTGAATTTTGTCGAAAAACTAATTTTATTTGATAAAATAATTGAATAATTTCTTTATTTCAATTATTAGCCGATTTAAAGTATTGTCAATTCTAATAAAAAAGAAAAAAGTAGCTTTTAGTATCACAAATCGGAAAAAGTATCCAAATAGTATCAAAATTGTAAAAAAATTAGTAAATAGTAATTTTTAGTTGATGAGTGCAAAGTTATCTTTTCTTTTAGTTTACAAATTAAAAAATATAATTTTTCTTTTGTTTTTTTAGGAGGCAATGTTATTGAGACATCACAATGAAGCGGAATCACTGCACGCGGTCCAGCGAATGGACTGGGAATGGAAATTAAAGGAAGTTGGCCTTTGCGAATTTAAGGCGACGCCACAAATTGAAGATCTTCACGTTCCAATGGTCCACGTTGCCGATGACTTTGACCTTCTACCAACATAGTTTACCTATCAGCATAAGAAGAATAAAAAGAAGACAAAGAAGACGAAGAAGAAGATGATGAGGCAGTAGAAGAAAAAAAGAAAAAAAAACTTGTACAAAAATCCGCACTTACAATATTAGTCAAGAAACAAAATACCCATTATTACCTTTTGTTTATCTTCGATCGAGTCGAGGGTATAATCTGTGATCTCTTTATCGATATAAGAACAAAATTTTGTTCCAACAGTGACGCGAATTATTTCACTGTCTTTTCCATAGTAAAATTAGGTAACTAACATTTTTTTAAATCAAGTTTCAAAAAATTTTTTTCAGAAGCATTGTTTTACTATTATTTTCTTTTTCCCTTTTTTTACTATTTTTCCTTTTTCTTTGTTTTTCACTTTTTTTTTAACTGTTTTCACTATTTTTGAAATCTTTTTTTTTCTTGAAACCATTTTCTTGTTTTTATCTCTCTTTTCGTTTTTATTTACTTTTGTTCTTTTTATCGTTTTTATAATTTTTATTCGTTTTCTTGGTTCTTTTTTCATTTTTTTTTTATATTTTAGAAAAATGATATAATAATAATTTTGTTTTTTAAAATATATAATTTGCGTCAACTGATAGAATCTGGTTCTTTTTATACGAAATGAGGCTGCATTTTTAATTTTCAAGTCAATAATAATCTATATTTAAATGATTTTTTTTTACAATTTCATTTTTTTTCTAGGTTTTTCCTAAGTGTTTGTTTTTTTTTGTCGATTTTCATCTCCAAGTCATATTCACACACACACACATCTTGTACATACTTTGTAACTAGCCATTAAAAGAAAAGAGAAAAAAAAAACTTCATGTGTATAAAAAAGCATCCCAGAGTGAAATAAGGAGAAGAATAGAGAGAAGAGAAAAGGAGAAAGAGAAGGAGGAAGAAAAAGGAGGAGGAAGTAAAAAAAAACTAATAATAATAAAGTTAAGAACTTTCCAAACGATTTGTTTTTTTATTTCTAACTAATTCCTCTGTTTATTATTTACTAGGTTCGGCGGCTTTTTCGTCACTGTTTAACGGAGTTTCAAGCTTTAAATCAATTGGCTTGTCGTAGCCCATTATTCGTTTGTAGTGATGTAAATCTTGAAATGATTCCGGAGTTATGAATAGAGGTGTTTTTTTTATTAAACACGAAGTGAACATTCCTGGGACGTCCGGGACGAAAACGTCCTTTGGCTCGAAGTTCAACTGTCGAAAAAGAGGCAAGTAAGTATTTTTTTTTTAAATTTGTATCATTTTTTTATTCGCTATTTAAAAAAAAATTTTTTTTAATTATTTGTCTATTTTTATTGAATTGAAGTTTACAACATCAAATCTGATGATCAAAATTTCAATTCTTTTCGAAAATGAAATTAAATTATTTTCAAAATTTTATTTAAAAATTCTCTTCAAGATTTCAATTATCTGTATAAATAGAAAAATTCTTCCCCGAAATTCAATTATTTTCAAAAATATTTCTCAGTTTGATAATTTTTAAATTTACTTTCAAGAAAAATGTTTATAAATTTCTTCGCAGAAATTCAATGATGTATTTTCAAAATTTTTTTTAATAATTCTCGTCAAGATTTCATTTATTTTTTAAAATAAAATTCTTTAAAAAAATTCAATTATTTTCATAAATAACAATATTCATTACAAAAATTCAATTATTTTCAAAAGTAATAAAATTTCTTAACAGAATTTGAATTATTTTCATAAAATTCAACAACATTCTTACTAAAATTCCAATTACTTTCGAAAATGAAATATTAAATTCTTCGCAAAAATTCAATATTTTCAAAATTTTTCAAAAAAATTCTTTTTAAACTTTCAATTATTTTTAAAAATTTTAATAAAATTCTTATCAAAATTTACGTATTTTGAAAAATTTATTTTAATTCAATTATTTTTTAATATTTAGTATTTTAATAAGATTTCCCAAAAAATTAAATTATTTCCAAAAAAATTTTGAAAAAATTTTACGCAAACATTTAATTATTTTTATAAATAATAAAAATTTCTCAGGAATTAAATTATTTAAAATAGAATTTTCATACATTTTTTCGAAAAAATCAATTATTTAAATATTTTTTATAAAATTCTTCCCAATAATTCAATTATTTTTATGAATTTTAATAAAATACTTGGGAAAATTCAATTATTTTCAAAAGTAATAAAATTTCTTTGCATAATTTCAATTATTTTCAAAATTTTTTTTATAAAGTTCCGTAATTAAAAAATTGTAATATCATTTTTGAAGATAGTTCAATTCATGAAAATAATTTTAAAAAAATGAAACAATTTAAAATTTTGTCAAATTTTATAATATTGAAATAAAATTAAATTTTAAAGATTTTTATTTTTTAAAATTATTCTTAAACTATTGAAGAATTGTATATTGAAAAATTCTATGAAATAATTGAATTTTGGATGATTTGTAAATTAAAATTTTTATAAATAATTAAAATTCAAAAGGTTTTACAGCGAAAGTATTTTTGAAATTTTAATTTCCGTGGAGAAATACAAAATTATAAAATTAAAATTTTCGAAGATTTTAATTCCGAAAACCTTTTTAAATTTTATTTTTTCTAAAAAATACATAATTGCAATTTTTCAAAAATTCAATTGTTTTGAAGAAAAATTTTTTTTTTATTTTTTTTATTTTAAAGAATTTTTACTAAAGTTCTTCCCTAAATAATTTAATTATTCTCTAGAAGTTTATTATTTATGAAAATAATTGAATTCTTGCAACGAATTTTATTAAATTTTTTTAAAGAAATTGAATTTTATTAATTTTTTTAAAATAATTGAAATTTTGATAAAAATTTTATTAAATTTTTTTGAAAATAATTGAATTATTGTGAAGAATTTTATAAAAATTGTTTAAATAAATGATTTTTTAAAAATTTATAACAATTCTTTTTTAAATAATTGAATTCCTGGGAAATTAAAATTTTTTTTTTTGAAAATAATTGAGTGTTTGCGTAGAATTTTATCAACAATTTCAATTTAAAAAACTTTCGAAATTCAATTATTTCTAAAAAATTTCAACTGCAATTGTTCAAAAATTCAATTATTTTTTTTGAATTTTTATACCAAAATTCTTCTCTCAATCAATTTATCAATTATTTTATAAATAATTTTTAGGAAATTTTTCTAGAAATCAATTATATACATACGAAAATGCAATTCTATATGTTTACAACTATAGTCCTTTTTTTGATTTTAAAAAAATTTAATATTAAAAAAAAAAATTTTTAAATAAGTTTTTAAAGAATATTAAAAATAATATTTTTGAAAGATGATATATTTTTCACTTTGTATAATTGAAAAACTTGCATATAATTGAAATTTAGTAAAATTAAATTTATCCAAATTTCAAAATTTCCATGATTTTAATTTAATAAAACTTTTAAAGATTTTTGTATTTCTAAAAATTCCTAATAATAATGCTTTTAATATTAAATATAATTTTTTAAAATTAACAGATAGTTTTATATTTTAAGTTTTTTGTATATAAGAAATATTTAAATAAATAAATAAATAAAATTTAGAGGTTAAGATAAAGAAAATATAAGATTTAAATCATATTTTAATTTTCACACGAGAGAGAAAAGGATAGAAATATCTTCCGGCGCCCTCTTCTAGAAGAAGAAAAACGACATTTCTATCCTTTTTCCTCTCGTGTAAAACTTAAGATATTTAGACTTTTCATTCGGCGTACATACGAACCTTTCTTTTTTGCAAAAATAATGTGTACGTTGATGCGACGTATTTATCCTCTTCCGGTACGTATTCGATATGGGTGATGTACTTTTTTGTTATTAAATTAAGAAGTAGTGGCGTTCCTATTGCAAATAGAGAGAAAAATACTGAGACACCAATTATTGTTCCTAAACCACTGCTCTGTGCCATTTTTTGATAAATTATCGGTTGTGCCATTATGCCGAGGCATGATGTGCATAATGAAAATACTTTAATATTACGAATTTGTCGAGTTAAAATGCCCGAGTAAATTTCAATTGACGATGAAATTGGTGGAGTTTGTTTGGATGAATAATTTCTCCTTTGCAGGCAAGTCGTCACCTGAAGTTAAAATATTTTTTTTAAAGTTACATTTATATAATTATTTTATATAAATTATTATTTATATAATTATTTTATATAAATTATTATTTATATAATTATTTTTCTACTTTTTTATGTTATTGACGCATTTCTTCTATATTGACACAATTATTGTCATTTTTTACTTAATATCAAAGAAATAAAAAAAATTATCTCAATAGCAGAGAAATTAAATTTTTTAATTCAAATTAAAGGCCAAAAGCAATAGAGAAACGGAATCGGAAGAAATGAGTTGATAATAATTCCGATTACGTTTCCATTCTGTTCAGATACTTAAAAAATTGATTCGCTTCGTAAAAGCAATTTTACCAAAGAAAATCATTTTAAAGTTATGTTTGCATTACTTTTTGCCTTAATTAATAATTGTGGAAAAGAAGAAATAGTTTTTATTATTTTGGATGGAGTTAAACATAACCTAAAATTTTTTGCTTCTTAGGTGCCTACAATATTTTTATCATTATTATTGAATAAAATTAAAAGTTTCGAGTAAAATAAATAGAATATTTAAGAAAAAATATTAGGAAAATTTTTTTATAAATACAAAAATTAGGGAAAATGAAAGTAACAGGGAAAGAAAGTATATGTACACGAACCTTAATTTTATTCTCGGTAATTTTTGTATTTACAAGGCAGGTGTATTTTGAATGACTGATTTCTATACAACATCGTCTTCCATAATTTTTGACCCATGTTCTTAAGAGTAGTGCCATTTTTTCTAATTTCTGGGTTTCTGTTTTATTTATTATTTACAGATAGATTTTACAGAGAAAATAAGGAAGAAAAAGAAATTCGGCATAATCAAAATACAACTTTTAAGTTAAAGTTGGGTTAATATGTCTACTGTCACTCGAGTGCAATACGTGTTCCCACTTTCGTAAGTTGAGGCGCTTTTGAAAATGACCATTTCTACCGGTGGCGCTGACTAACGTTCCGCTGTTCACGGCACGGCAGTTTGGGACGATATTTTAACCACGACGACAGTTTGTCATGATGAGCAAGTCTAAACCAATCTTAATGCAGAGCAACTATCAAGCGAGCAGATTTTAACAGGTGAAAATTAAAATTAATTTTTTATTACATATTTTATATATAGAAAATAGAAAGTAGATTAGTCCTAAGCACAATGAAACCTTAAAGTCATGTTATTCAGTGGTAACGTGCCCCATATACTTTACTATGGGGAAAATGACCGTAGAATAACATAACCTTAAATCCTAGAATCGTAAATTTTAAGAATAAGAAAGAAAAGGATTTAAATATATATGTCTATCCTTTTCTTTCTCATTCTTCAGTTTTACGATTCTGCGATTTAAATTTTAAGGTGTTTTGTGCTTAAATCTATTTTTAACTCGAGCTTCAATTAAATTCAATTTTTGTTAAAAGGAAAATAAAAATTTCCACTCTTCCAGAGGAAGTCGCGTGAAAATTTTTATTTTTCTAAATTCATTTTGAGGCCGAGTCTAGAATAGAGATTTTTAGGTTACGTTGATGTTCGAGAAAATCGTTTGTGAACAAGGTGAACAATTTTAATACTCAAGCGTCGACTTAACCTAAAAATCTATTATTATACACAAAGTTTAGTTTTCGTTCATAACATTTCTTTTTAACGAAAAATAAATAAAATAAATTTATACGCTGCAAAAACAAACTTGCGCGAAATATTTATTTTTCTAATTAGGCTTTTCTAGAATGTTTTATAACTTTCGTTTGTAATAAATGAGCATTCGGCTTGAAAAAAATATAGAAAAACATTTTGATCAATCAAATAACGTTTTATTTGAACAAATTTTTATATTTTCAAAGTTTAACTACATCTAATGCGATACTAGAAAAAATATTAAATTTAAGATTTCGGTAAAAAAGGTACATTAACTCTTAAAAAATATTCTTCTTGGTATGGTGCTGGCTTTTCTCTTTCTTTTTAGTAAAAAAAAAACTAGCGGAGATATAAAATGGCCTCTATTAAAAGTCGGTGCCATATTTATGTTACAGTCTTCCATATTTACGGAAATATTTCTCTTCTTCATTAAAGAAATTATCTTTTCCGAAAATTCTCCATTTCTTCAAAATTCTTCAATATTCTGCAAAATTTTTTGTCTAATGTTAATAAATAGAATATGCTACTGTTATGCATTTGAAGTTTGCAGTAAATTGTAGGCTGTGTATGAAGTTCTCAAAATCTGGAATTGATATATTTTTGTTATCTTTATGGTAAAAAATTTTCTTTGCCAAAATTATAATATTCCTACCATTAGAAAAGTATCGTAGGTTAATGGTATTACAGATCCACTTGTTAAAATTATGGGAAATCTAGCACGCATTGAAATTAGAGAGAGGCCCTCTTTAGTACTCCTTTTTAATGTTGTCCAATTCATCATACTGAACACGTTTGCTAGTTTTAAACTCTATCAAAAAAATTCTTGTATTAAAAATTCCCTTCATAATTATTTCTAATTTTCTAATTTTTATCTTCAACTTTCCTAACATCATCTAAATTTGCAATAACATTGACAACGTATCCTTAATATTGTTAATAGAAAAAAATGAATATTAAAATAAATATAAATATTTAAAAAAAACTTGCAGCTATATTGTCAACGTTGCTCCAAGTTTAGATGCTGTGGGTCAAGTTAATTTTTTCAACTATTTCTCCAACTTAATTTTTAATTAAATTCTCTACCACAATTTTAAATTATCTTCTTTAATTAGTTCTAAAAGCTGTTAATTTTACCAGTACCTACTTTTAACATAACTGCATTTCCAAAATGACAATAGAGAAAAATTTGAAATAAAAAGTTAGTTAATGCAATACTTTGAACGATAACCTTGTCATTGAATTCATTTTTCGTCGATAAACTGAACACAAGAGTGCAAATATTTAAAATTGAGCCAAAAAATTGTATACCAAATACAATGTTAAAAATGTTATTTAGTTCGGTGCTGAATCTGTAATTGTAGCAAATAATTAATTTTTTTTCTTAAATATGGAAATAGAGTAAATGGCACAATGTAAATGTAAATTGCGCTTCTAAAATTTTACCTGAAGATGTAATTATGATGAATGACGCAGTCTTTGATAATGTTGGCCTCTTCCGCTTTGTGATACATTAGGGATTTTTTGTTTTGGTGGAAATCTGAGAGATATTGTAGACGATGACATAGTATATCAAGTTGGGAGCAAATTTGAATCAGCATTGTCATTACAAATGTTTCCGAAGCAACGGTAATTAAACCGGCGGAATAGAGGCAGACCGATTGACTGAAGTATGTCAAGGAAAATGCTAAGTTTTGATTATAGTCGTAGGGAAATGATGCTTTTAGTGGTAGGGTTATATTGTCCTTTCCCTTCGCCAATCCGCCGAATATCATTGCGAACACTGTCGCGGAGGTTATTATGAAGAAGTATTTTGTGTTCCTTCTGAAATAGAAAATATTGTTAAGTACTTTTATTGTTACTGGAAATCCGAATCACCATTAAGTTTCTGCTATTGCTAGGGGCTACTTTCGTTTTTAGATTTTTTATTCTAATCTCTTGAGTTTTTTGATTCGTATCCCTGCGTAGCACTCGTAGAATGAATTAAGGTTTTATTAGGACTGTAATACTTGGACATAATTCGTAGGTGGTTCTAACAAAGAAACTTTTATTGCTGAGGTCATCAAAACCGAAAGTTTTAGTAGATGTCAGTCAGTACGAGGAAAGGTAACAATTGAAATCCGCGACTTGGATTGCCTTACCCAGGTTTTTTTGGACCTTACCCAGAATCAGTAAATGTTGGAAGATGTGTTCGAGAAAGTCGACATAGTCAGTATGATTCAAAGTCATCGACGAAATCATCAAAAACAGAAATTTTAGCAGACTTGAATCAGTCATCGCCGAAATCGTCAAAAACAAAAGTTTTGGTAAGTTTTAGTCGGTTTTTGTAAAAGTCATCAAAGTAGAGGAAGCTTTAGTAGACTTTAGTTATAGTGCCCGAGAGGTGACTCTAGAAATTCGCGAATTGGATTGTCTTACCCAGGTAGAAGAGGTTCATCAAGTCCCAAATTAAATCGTTTTTTAAACAGTAATAATAAGTAACAGTACCGTCTCTAGGCGTTGATTGAAAAGTCATCTAAATAGAGAAAATGATTATGAATCAAAAACAAATCCCAAAATACTCACCTAGCTATAAAATCACATTTCTCCTGCATCATCTTCTCAGTACTATCCCGAATTTTCAAGCAGTCTTCATTTAAGATATTCATCAATCTTATAATATCATTTCCCCTTAAGAGAAAGTTGGTCATCTTGATACAAGTTACGAAGGCAGCAAGAGACCAACATAAGGATTCTGCGAATTCGTCAATATCATTCAGGGTATAAAGTACAAGGTACATGCACAGTGAAATATCGAATAAATAAAAATGACTAATCATAAAAGCAGTAAAAATGTTATATAGAGTTTTCGTAATAATCAAAGACCATTCTATTGGTCTATGAACACCAGCAATTGTTAATAGTTTTATTGAATAATCAGCTTTGTACATTCTTGCCGTTTTGCTTGCTACTTTCGATTAATTTCATCAAAAAGGTTCTTTTATTTTGTACTGTTAAAGTACAATTTCGGAGAAATTACTGAAGGCTCTATTTGGCAGACTGTCTACGAAATTTTTGTTTTATCAAAAATTGTTCCTTTTTTACTAAGTAGATTACGAAGGGCAGTAAAATAGATGAAGGAGACAATTTATTAAAGGGTAGAATTCTATTATATTGTGAAATAAGTTTATCGTGAGGCAAAATTCTTAGAGTATTAAACTTGTGGTTGCTTGATCGAAACTGTCTGCGATTACAAAATATTCAAATATAGTATAAAGTAGGGGATCCCGTATAAAGGAGGCTAGTTTTCACAATAATTGTTTCGAAATATAGGTATTTATTATTAAAGTCGTTATTCACCCCATGTTATGAAATTTTTATAAGAATAATGATAGGTATGTTGGGAAATAAATGTAATTCCTTCCAATCGACGCATTTTCAATGTTGAACTGCAGTATTCGCATTATTTATTCAAACGGCTGTAAAGAGTCTGAAAATGATGACAATTTTTAATCCTCCATCGTATCCAGTATTAATTCATATATCATGCAGTCACTTATTGATAAGTTTTCCAAGATGTTTCTATTCTTACAAACTGCCATGAATTTATCGTCTTCATTAAATTGGAACCTACGTAAAATAAGGAATTTTTAATTTGGAAAAGGTGATCACGCTACACTTGATGTGCATTATAAGGTATATATAGGATTCTTGTAGCTATTTCCTCTTATAATAATTTGTTTTCAATCAATTTTAATCATTTATATATTTGACTTTTATTTTATATTCTATCAGTTCATTAATTTGCATGTGCGTAGATTGATCTTTATACAATTTGTAACCATAACTTTAATCTTATGTTACAATCATTTCGTTCTAGGGTACTATTATTTTTCTTCACAATATATTTTATAAAGAAGGAATATATGTATTCTTTCGTAATTATAACCCTCTGACGATTCTAACTCATCTCCTCTCTGTCGTCATTGAACGTAATTCCTATTATCGCCCAGCTTCCAAACTGACGATTTTTGACGATAACGATTATTAGCAACTACAAAGAGTTAAAACATATGTTAATGTTATGCATTTGTATTTTTTAGTAAATTGTAGGCTGTGTATGAAGTTTTCAAAATCTGTAAATATAAATATTTTTATCTTCAAAACTTAAAAAGTTCCCTTTTGAAATTAATAATTTTACCTTTAGAAAAGTATCATAAGTCAATGGTATTATGGATCCACTCGTTAAAATTATTGGAAGTCTACCAACCATTGCAATCAGAAAAAGTCCCTGTTTAGTGCTTTTTTTTAATATTGTCCAGTTCATCAAACTAAATATGTTTCCTACTTTTAAACTCTGTTTTAGAAAAAAAATTAATAGTTCTCTTGACAAGTTTCTCTAAATCAATTTTTAATCAATTACTCTTTTTTAATTAACTTCTTTAACATAATTTTAAATTACCTTATCTTACTACCCTCTGGGCAAAAAACCATGTTCGTTCCAAAAACGTTTTTAGAACATTATTTTGCGGTCAGGAAACATTCTAAAAACGTTTTTGGAACGTACATGGAAGAAGGTCAAAATAATACTTTGTACTATAACCTTGTCATTAACTTCCTTCTTTATCGATAAACTGAACACAAGAGTGCAAATATTTAAAATTGAGCCCAAAAATTGTATACCAAATACAACGTTAAAAATTTTATTTAAGTCACTACTGAATCTGTAATTGTTAGCAAATGATTAATTTTTCTTTTGTTGGTTGCAAAATGTTAACCTTTAAAAATTTTACCTGAAGATGTAATTATGATGAATGACGCAGTCTTTGATAATATTGGCCTCCTCAATTTTTTGATACATTAGAGATTTTTTGTTTTCATTGTCATCTGAGAGATATTGTAGACGGTGACATATTATATCAAGTTGGGAGCAAATTTGAATTATCATTGTCATTACAAAAGTTTCCGTGGCAACGTTAATTAAAGCGGCGAAATAGAGGCACACCGATTGACTCAAGTATGTCAAGGTAAATGCTAATTTTTGACTATAATCATAGGGCAATAATACTTTTAGTGGTAGGGTTATATTATCCTTTCCTTTCGCTACTCCGCTGAATATCATTGCAGCCAGTGCCAGAAAGGTCATTATTGAAAAGTATTTCGTATTCCTTCTGAAATGAAAAATGTTCTTTTTATGTTTTTGGGAATGTTAGAATTTTCAGTTAAAATTTAGATCAGGGTCATCATCATTTTTAAGGTTCGTTCGACGCACTTTTGAAGATTGTATCCACCTTAGGGACATCAAAAACCAGATGTTTTTTATGTTTCAATAGAGGTCGATCAGTTCATTAAGGTGATATTTGAAATCCGCGACTTGGATTGTCTTACCCAGTTATTGTTAAACCTTACCCAGATCCAGTAAATGTTGGATGAAGTGTTTGAGAAAGTCGATATAGTTCAGTATGCTTGAATCAATCATCAGCGAAATATCATCAAAACCAGAATTTTTAATAGACTTGAATCAGTCATCGCCAAAATCATAAAAACCAGAAGTTTTAGTAAGTTTTAGACAGTTTTCGTGAATGTTATCAAAGCAGAGGAAGCTTTAGTAGACTTTAGTAGACTTTAGTCAATGCAAGAATGGTGACTCTGGAAATCCGCAAATTGGATTGTCTTACCCAGGTAAAAGAGGATCATGAAATTTTTGGAAGAGGTACTCAATCAGAAAATTAAATTAGCACCCAACAAGCGAGAGATGTATTTTAATGTTTTGATTACCAATCCAGGAAGAAAACTAGACTTGAGTAATCGTGCAAGAAAGATAGGTTTTATGTCGTGCCCAATCAGAAAGATACTAATAGTCACTAGATATCATCAGTGCCAGGAATGGCTTTAACAATGAGGCTTTCACTGCAGAGATAAAAAATTGTACTTAGGTAATCAAGAACTTTTAGTAGACTTCAGATAGTCGCCGAAATCATCAAAAGGAGTTTTAGTAATCTTTGGTTAGTAAAATAGAGGATTCTTCAGTTATATTCGGCTAGTCTTGAAGAAGATCATCAAGATAAGAGGAAATAGACTTAAGTTAGTGAAAGAGAAGGTGGTATTTGAATTCCGCGACTTGGATTGTCTTACTCAGGTAGAAGAGGCTCATCAAGTTCAGGAAGAAGTACTTCAAATGCCAGGAAAATAAATTCATAAATTAAATCATTTTCTAAATAGTAGTACCGGCTCTGACGTTGCTACAAAAGTCATCTAAATGGAGAAAAAGATTATGAATCAAAAGCAAAACCCAAAATACTCACCTAGCTATAAAATCAGATTTGTCCTGCATCATCTTCTCAGTATTGTCCCGAATTTTCAAGCAGTCTGCATCTAAGATATTCAACAATCTTATAATATCATTTTCTTTCAAGAGAAAGTTTGTCATTTTAGTACAAGCGACGAATAGAGCAAGAAACAAACACAGACATTCGGCAAATTCATTAATATCATTCAATGTACGAAGTACAAGGTACAGGCACATTAAAATATTAAGAAAATAAAAATGAGTAATTGTTCAAGCAGTAAAAATACTATATAGAGTTTTTGTAATAATCGACGACCATTCTATTGGTCTATGAATACCAGCAATTGTAAAAAGTTTTATTGAATAATCAGCTTTGTACATTTTGGTAAAGGGGTATTTTCTACAGTTTGCATCAATTGTTTTCTTCTACTGTTGTTCTCGTTTTTAGTTATCAATATTGTATTTATTTGGCTGGTTTATAAAAATTTGTTTTTAATTTCTGCACTGGTTTACAAAAGGTAGTAAAATAGATGTAGGAGAAAATTTATTAAAGGGTAGAATAGGATTATATGGTGGAATAAGTTTATCGTGAGGCAAAATTCTTAGTTTAACAATTCTTGTTGTATGCTTGTTGCAAACTCTTTGCTGTTATAAAATTTCCATTTAGTATAAAGGAGGAGAGTTTTCATAATACTTGTTTCGAAATATGACGGTATTTATTATTAAAGTAGGTTTAAAAATTTTATAGCATGGAGTTATTGATGTTATGAAATTTTTAAAAGAATAATGACATGATAGGTATGTTGGGAAATAAATGTAATTCCTTCTAATGGATAAGAAAGTCGCTTATTTTACATTGTTGAACTGTATTCGAATTATTTATTCACAAGGCTGTAAAGAGTCTGAAAATGATGACAAGTTTTAATGCTTCATTGCATCTTAGTTCATTTATCATGCAGCCACTTATTGATCAGTTTTCCAAGATGTTTCTATTCGTACGCATCTGCTATGCATTTATCGTCTTCATTAATTAATTATAAGCTGTTTTCAATATCTCTTGAAGATAAATTTTATTTCAACTTCAAGAAATAGATTTTATGATACGTTTTTCAAATTACAACCCATTTGGTCTTGTGCTTAAAAATATATCTCTAGTGGTCAGAAATAATCTCTGGAACAGTGAGTTGCCTCTTAAAATTTCGTGTTAATTAAACTAGTTCTTTAAATATCTTCATTTAAATTTCTATCATTTAAATTTCCATTCCTAAATTCAACGGGATGTCAATGATTTCTTATACGTTTCGAAAGAAAATTATTACTTCTTTCAAAAAATTTTCAAATTCTTCGAAATTCTTTTTAACCTTAATTTTTAATCTTTAGTCTTAATCTTTAAACAATGTTGCACTTAAGCGGTAAATTTTATGTCTAACATTAATAAATAGAATATGCTAATGTTTTGCATTTGTAGTTTCTAGCAAATTGTAGGTTGTGTACGAAGTTTTCAAAATCTGTAAACGATAAATCTTTTTCATCTCTGGTTAAAAATTTTCTTTCTTTGCTAAAATTAATATTCTTACCATTAGGAAAGTATCGTAGGTTAATGGTATAACAGATCCAATTGTTAAAATTATTGGAAGTCTGGCACGCATTGAAATTAGAAAAAATCCCTGTATGGTGCTTCTTTTTAATATTGTCCAGTTCATCATACCGAATACGTTTGCCACTTTTAAACTCTATTAGAAAGAAAAAAATATTTATATTAGAAGTTCTTTTGATACACATTTCTAACTATTAAATTTTTTTCTTTAACTTTTTTTTAAATATATTTTCTAGCATAATTTAAAATTAATTTCTAAAATTAGTTAAGATAATAATTAATTAGTTAAGATAACAATTAATTAATTAAGATAACAATTAATTAATTAAGATAATAGTTAATACTTTATGGTTTACAGATCCAGAAGAAAGTGGCGACAGCGCAGGTAGTCTTGCGCCGCTCTTGCTTCCCCTTCCACGCTAGCCACGAGGTCTATAAATACCTTGTTTGCAGTAATAATTTTCTCAGTCTTCCGTCGACTGGTCTCGAGTGGTCTCGAGGCACTTCTCGGACCGTTCGACAGCAACTCACTCCTCGTGTTCACCAACCTCGGTACTGAAAATAATCTGTATGGAATCTGGAATTTCTTATGACCACAAAATGTCCAGTGAAAGGACCAATAAATAACAGAAATCATAGAAAATATCACTAATCAGGAACTCTCGCCAGAGTTGAGTGAACGTCTCCTCTTGACAGCCTCAAGGGAATATAATTGTAAGTCCTCTTTTAAATCTGGAGTACGATTGATTTCTTTAATTCTATTTTTATCATCTTTATCAGTTAATATATTTTTACCAATATTCCTATTAATTTTATTTACTTAATGACTATGATCTCTACAAATTTTTCATTTAGTTATTCCTATTATAAGTTATTATAATATTGGGTATTCTTACTATTGTTTAATTTAATAATTCGTTATTGTAAATTAATTAAAATTTTTAAATTCAACGGGATATAAATTTAAATATTTTGTGTTCGAAAAGAAAAGGATTACATACTTCTTGAAAAAATTCTTTAATTTTTCAACATTCTTCAAATGTTTTGTCTAATGTTAATTACTAGAATATGCTAATGTTACGCATTTGAATTTTGTAGTAAATTGTAGGTTGTGTACGAAGTTTTCAAAATCTGTAAAAGATACATTTTTTTTCATCTCTGGTTAAAAATTTTCTTTCTTTGCTCAAATTAATATTCTTACCATTAGGAAAGTATCGTAGGTTAATGGTATGACAGATCCACTTGTTAAAATTATTGGAAATCTAGCACGCATTGAAATTAGAGAGAGTCCCTGTTTAGTGCTTCTTTTTAACATTGTCCAATTTGTCATAGTGAATATGTTTGATACTTTTAAACTCTGTTATCGAAAAAACATTAATAATTCCCTTGACAAATTTCTCTAATTTGATTTCTAATTAATTTCTGTAAGTTTGAAATTAATTTCTCTAAATTTTTAATTAACTTAAGAATTCTTTAACATAATTATAAATTACTTTGTCTAAATACTAAAAGCTAACGGCTGCTAATATTTCCAGTACCAACCTTTAACATAACTGCATTTCCAAAATGACAATAGAGAAATATTTGAAATAAAACATTCGTTAAAACAATACTTTGAACGACAACTTTGTCATTAAATTCGTTTTTTGTCGACAAACTGAACACAAGAGTGCAAATATTTAAAATTGAGCCCAAAAATTGTATACCAAATACAATGTTAAAAATGTTGTTTAATTCAGTACTGAATCTGTAATTTTAGGAAATGATTAATTTTCCTTTTTGTAAATTAGTAAATTTGAAGGGAGCTTTTAAAATTTTACCTGTAGATGTAATTATGATGTATGACGCAGTCTTTAATAATGTTAGCCTCTTTTGTTCCGGTATAAATTTTGGCTTTATTGTTTAGATGGAAATCGGAAAGATTTTGTAGACGGTAACATATTATGTCAAGTTGAGAGCAAATTTGAATTAGCATTGTCATTACAAAAGTTTCCGAAGCCGCGGAAATTAAACCGGCGGAATAGAGGCTCACTGATTGGCTGAAGTATGTCAAGGAAAATGCTAAGTTTTGATTATGGTCGTATGGAAATGATGCTTTTAGTGGTAGAGTTATATTGTCCTTTCCCATTGCTAATCCGCCGAATATCATTGCCACCACCGTCGCAGAAGTTATTATGAAAAAGTATTTCGTATTCCTTCTGAAATTAAAATAATGTTATGTACTTTAATTGTTACTGGAATTCCGAATCAGCTTTAGGCTTCTGCTATTTCTAAGTACTGCTTTCGTTTTTAGGTTTTTCATTCGAATATATTGAGTATCCCTACGTACCACTCAAAGTAGAATTTAAGATTTATCAAGACTGTAGTATGTGGACGTAATTAGTAGGTAGCTCTAACGAAAAGGCGCTTTTGCTGCAGAGATCATCAAAACCAAAAGTTTTAGTAAACTAAGTCAGTACAAGAATAGGTGACATTTGAAATCCGCGATTTGGATTGCCTTACCCAGGTATTCTTGGACCTTACCCAGACCCAGTTAATGTTAGAAGAAGTGTTTGAGAAAGTCGAAATAGTCAGTGTGCTTAAAACAGTCATCGACGAAATCATCAAAAACAGAAGTTTTAGTAGACTTGATTCAGGAATCGCCGAAATCATCAAAAACAAGTTTTAGTAGACTTGAATCAGGAATTGCCGAAATCATCAAAAACAGAAGTTTTAGTATACTTTAGTCAGTACAAGAATAGATGACATTTGAAATCCGCGGCTTGGATTGCCTTACCCAGGTATTTTTGAACCTTACCCAGATCCAGTAAATGTTGGAAGAAGTGTTTGAGGTGGTCGACATAGTACAGTATGCTTGAAACAGTCATCGCCGAAATCAGCAAAACTAGAAGTTTTAGTAAATTTTCGTAAAGGTCATCAAAGTAGAGGAAGCTTTAGTGGACTTTAATCAGTGCAAGAAAGGTGACTCTAGAAATCCGTGATTTGGATTGTCTTACCCAAGAAGGGTAAATGGCAATTCGTAAAAATAACTTTTCGCAAAAATGACTATTCACAAAAATGGCTTTTCGCAAAAATGACATTTCACAAAAATGTCTTTTCGTAAAAATGACAATTCGCAAAAATGACTTTTCGGAAAATTGACAATTCGTAAAAATGGCGATTCGCAAAAATGACTTTTCGGAAAATTGACAATTCGTAAAAATAGCGATTCGCAAAAGTGACATTTCGCAAAATTGGCTTTTCGCAAAAATGAGTATTCGCAAAAGTGGAGTTCGGTAAAATGACATTTCGGAAAAATGACATTTGGGGAATAATCATGCGCCCCGTATTTCGTAGTTTTGGTTGCAAACCCAGAAAAGGAACCAGATCCAAGTGATTATTATCAGGGCCAGGACTATTATTTAGGTTCAAATGGTCAACAAACAATAACACTCGAAATTCTTGATTTAGATTTAGACTTAAATCAGTTTTTGCCATAATCGTCAATACCAAAAGTTTTAGTAAACTTCGGTCATATCGAAATAAAGGATTTTTTAATAAACTTCAGCGGGTCTTAGCAAAGATCATCAAAATAATAGAAGCTTTAGTAGATTTTAGTTATTGCAAGAAAGATGGCTCTAGAAATCTGTGATTTAGATTGTCTTACCCAGGTATAGACTCTAGACAAACTAGTGCAAAAATCTTCTAGACTGACTACCAAAGTCATCCAAACAGAAAAAAGTGTAAAACAGAAAAAAGCAATAAAGAAACACTGGAACAAACATCAATTTAAGAAATATTTAAACATCAATGAACATAACAAAATCCAAAGTACTCACCTAGCTATAAAATCACTTTTGTCCTGCATCAGTTGCTCATTATTGTCCCTAATTTTCAAGAAATCTTCATTTAAGACACTCAACATTCTCATAATATCATTTTCCCTTAAGAGAAAGTTTGTCATCTTTGTACAAGTTACACAAGCAGCAAGAGACCAACATAATGATTCCGCGAATTCGTCAATATCGTTCAATGCATAAAGTACAAGATACATGCCCAATGAAATATTAAAAAAATAAAAATTACTAATTATAAAAGCAGTATATAAATTATATAGTATTTTTGTAATAGATGATGACCATTTGAATGGTCTATGGAATCCGGCAATTGTTAAAAGTTTTATTGAAAAATCAGCTTTGTACATTTTTTAATCTTTGTTTACTGTGTACTATTGTTTTCATCAAGATTTTTTAGCGTACTGTCGTATTCGTTTTCAGGTAGTAATAATAATGCTTTGAATTCGTTTATTTTAGAAAATGGATTTTAATTTCTTTTGCAGTAGGTTACAAATTGTATTAAAAATAAATGTTGGAGAAGATTTATGATAGGGTGGAATAAGTTTCACAGGAAACAAAATTCTTAGAGTATAAAACTTGTGTATGCTTGTTCGAAAGTGTTCTCAGAGGCAAAATATTCAATAAGTATAAAGAAGGCTAGTTTCTATAGTACTTGTTTCGAAATATAGGTATTTATTATTAAAGTCGTTATTCACCCCATGTTATGAAATTTTTTAATGAATAATGATAGGTATGTTGGGAAATAAATGTAATTCCTTCTAATAGATAAGCAAGTCGCATTTTCAATGTTGAACTGCAGTTTCGCATTATTTATTCACAAGGCTGTAAAGAGTCTGAAAATGATGACAAGTTTTAATGCTTCATTGCATCTTAGTTCATTTATCATGCAGCCACTTATTGATAAGTTCTCCAAGATATTTCTATTCTTACGCATCTGCTATGCATTTATCGTCTTCATTAAATTGTAAGATGCGTAAAAAGTTCTCAATATCTGTTGGGGATAAATTTTATTTTAAAGTTCCTGTACAGGAACTTTGAATCCCTTCAGGATCCTGCAAAGAATTTTAATTGATCGTTTTGGGTCACTGATTACGAATTTTTATATTAGTTTTCGAAAACTAAAAATGGTGGACTTAATATCGAATTAATGAAATAAAAAATACTAACCTTGCAATATAATCACAATTTCCTTGCATAATTTCTTCTCTAGTGTCACTTATCTGTAAGCAGTCTTCATTTAAAATATTTATTAATTTCAAAATTTCCTTCTGTTGCAGAAGAATGTTTATCATTTTAGCGCAAATGACACTCGTTGTAATTAGCCAGCATAGCGACTCAGCGAATTGGTCAACATCATTCAATGAATGAAGAATTAGGTATGTACACAAAGTACCATTAAATGAGTAGAAATAAATAATTACAAAGAATGTAAATACATTATAGAGAAGTTTTTGTCATGAACAGAGACAAGTTTATTGGTCTATAAACACCTGTAATTGTTACAAGTTTTTACAAACAATTGGTTTTTAATTCAATTCAAGAGATCTCAAAATTCGTGAATAATGTGTCGAATTATCTTAATCCGCCACTGCCCAAGTGTTATACTAAGAGGAATTTTTGTAAATGTGTGACAAAATTAAAGAACTTTTTTTTGGAATCATTCAACAAGATAAAAATTTATGGAGATTGTTGTTCAATCTGATTTTGGTATGTGTTAGCAGCGGCAATAGATGTGACCCTAAAGTAATTTAAAAAATAATACATGTGCTAAAAGTGGGAAATGAAGTTCATCATACAATATTTAATTGATAAGTTTTCCCAGATGATTTTTGCCAAGAAACTCTATTCGTACCAGCTGTTAGGTAGAGTTAGGCATTTATCGTCTTCAATAAACTATAAGCTGCATAAGATGTTCTTAATATCTGTAAACGATAAATTTTCCTTTAACTTTGTAAAATACGTGTGCGTGTAATATTCGATTCGGGTTCATTTAAATTTCAAAGGGTCAATCAGTTAAATTCAAAGATCTTACCGAGAGGAAAGTATCGTACGTTATTGGAATAATTGATCCACTCATCAGAATTATTGGATGACTTGCGCGTACTGTAATTAACAGAAGATGGTGTTGTGTGCTCCTACTCAGCACTGTCCAATCCATCATATTTATGACGTTAGCCACTTTCAAACTCTGAGGAAGAGAAAATAAATTAGTGACTTGTATGTTATTTTTAGATAAATTTTATGTTTCCGGAATCGAAATCTCCCAATTTTAAGATCAGGAGGAAAGTTTCTAATCTCCTGATCTTAACCCTCCATTCAACACATGTTCCAATGTCCATCTAATGCTATATTTCCATGATTCATAAAATATTCTGGGGACAGTTCTTCGACTTGTTTAAGCCATTGCTTAAAATTATACTTCTATTTATTTAATTTGTGTTTTTGAACTCCTGTTACTGGCAGGTAATTCACTTCAGTAGTAATATAACCGCAAAAGGTCGACCTCTTCCATTTTATATACTATTTGCACAACTTTAATAACATGAATGGTTGCCAATAATTGTTTGGTCCAACGAATGCTATTCCTTCCAAAGAAACACTGTCACGCCTTCAGAGAAAGGGGGAGCACTTCCTTTATTTGTTACAGACAAAACCGATGATTTATTACAAAGAAGATGTCTGCTTTTGGGGAAACCACCACTACCTGAAAAAGGATTTCTCCGAGCAAAAAGAAAATAAATTGTAATATTCATTCAGTCTCTGTAAATTACCTTCGAATAAACTAGTCTTTAGGAGAAAGTCCAGGTATCGGACGGAGGGTTAAAATCAGGAGAACCTTAAAGTATGAAATCGAAATCTGCTACGGAATATTAACTTCCGTTGGGAAATTTAAGATTATGATAAAACAGGATGGTAGTGATAACTAGTGATTACTTTTTGTTTAACATACTTTTACCATGACCTCGTTTCCAAAATGACAATAGAGGAATACTTGGAATAGAACAGTCGTCAATGTGATACTCTGTATAACAACCTTGTCATTAATTTCATGCTTCGTCGATAGAATAAATATTAGGGTACAAATGTTTGACACGAATCCAAAGAATTGATAACCGAGTACAATATCAAAGAAATTGTTCAAGTCGTTACAAAACCTGTAATTAAATACAACCTGTAATAATTACATCCGTTAATCTTTATGTTTTGTAGTAGATACCCTTCCCTGAGAGAAGGCAACGCTCCACAATACCTGTAAACGTAATTATGTTGCATTACACATTTCTTGATAATTCTAGCTTCCTTTTTACTAAATACAAGAGACTTCATATCATCTCTGTACAATAATGGTAGACTCTGCAGACGGTAGACTATTATATCCAGTTGGGAGCAAATTTGTATCAGCATTGTCATAACAAATGTTTCATATCCAACGGTGACGAAAGATGCAATAAAGCAAGATATTGTTTGATAAATGTATGTAAAATAGAATGGTAGTTTTCTGTTATAATCATATGGAAAGGATCCTTTGAGCGGTAAAATATGGTCGTCCTTAGCCATGGCTGATCCTCCGAATGATAATGCTGACGCTGTGAGGATGCAGATTACGAGAAAATACTTTGTGTTCCTTCTGAAATGAATTAGGTTCAATTAGGATGATTTCGGCATTCGATCAGGATTAACCCAACAGAAATTGGTGGACAATCATCACCGGATAATGATGGTCCAACAATTTTTGTTTGGTTTAGCTAATCACAATTAATCTGCAGGGTGATAATTAACAAGGGGTGTTAACCCCGCTATAGGATCATTATACTATAGCTATAGGATCATTATTCTTAAAGAATGGACTGGAGGAAGGGTTTTTCGCTTAGGGACGAAGTATGGTATACGAACGCTAGTAGTCAAGAAAACATTTACTTTCTAGGTAAGTTCCTAAAAAATTGTTATGTTTGTCAAATTTACATTTTAAAAACGTTTAGGGTTCTAAAAACGTTTCTTAAACATTGAACGTTTTTAAAATGTTAATTTCGCAGACATGAGACGTTTTAGGAACATTCCCCGAACGTAAATGTTTCTTTTGCCCACTGGACAATCATTGTCCCAGAGCAAGTTGGCAACCTATCGATAGAAGAGATATTTGACTTCTGGAGGAGAAGACTCTAAATAGTTTTTGGAAGCACTCCAGATTGATTGAAATAAAAGCGAAACGAAAACGACTGAAATGGGTATAAACCAAAGTATCATCCTTGTGATGATACTTAGAATAAAATAGACCATCCTTTACTAGAAGACGAGGCAAAATAAATACTAACCTTGCAGTATGATCACACTTTCCCTGCATTAATTCTTCCCTAGAGTCACTTGTCTGTAAGCAATCTTCATTTAAAATATTCACTAATTTAAAAATTTCATTCTGTTGCAGGAGAATGTTTATCATTTTGGCGAAGACAACAGTTGATGTAAGGAACCAACATAACGATTCAGCGAATTCGTCAACTTCGTTTAGAGAATGAAGAATTAGGTAAGTACCCAGTGAGATAGTAAATGTGTAAAAAATAATAATCACTGAGAATGAAAATGTATTATACAAAATTTTTGCAACAAATGACGACCAGTTTATTGGTCTCTGAACACCGGCAATGGTAAAAATTTTTATTGAATACTCAGCTTTGTACATTTTCGTAAACTTTTATCTACTTTTCTTTTCATTAAAATTTGTTTTCTATAATATTTGCTGCGTAGGTGATTTCGTAAAGTGTAGGTTCTCGAGAATCAAAAAATACACTTCTTTTGGTAGACCGTTTTCGAAATTGCTTTTTTAATTGACATGCAAATTACAACAGTTGATAAAAAGGATGGAGTAAAAGATTGAAAGAATATAGAACTTAGTGTTATAGTGTGTTTAAATAACAACTTGTTTATAAGCTTATAGCTTGTTCAAAACTGTTTGCGATTAGAAAATTTTTAATAAGTATAAAGAAGGCTCGTTTTCACAATACATAGTTTGAAATATGATGGTATTTATTATTGAAGTAGTTATTCACCCCATGTTATGAAATTTTTAACAGAATAATGATAGGTATGTTGGGAAATGAATATAATTCCTTTTAATGGATAAGAAAGTCGCATTTTCAATGTTGAACTGCAGTTCCGCATTATTTATTCACAAGGCTGTAAAGAGTCTGAAAATGATGACAAGTTTTAATGCTTCATTGCATCTTAGTTCATTTATCATGCAGACACTTATCGATAAGTTTTACAAGATGTTTCTATTCTTACGCATCTGCTATGCATTTATCGTCTTCATTAAATTGTAAGCTGCGTAAGATGTTCTGAATATCTGCCACTTATAAATATTTTAACTGTATAAAGTACCATTGAGTCGCTTTATTTTAAACTCTAAGAGTCGGTTCCACAATTGTTTTAACCGAAGTTTTAGTCTGTGAAATTGGTTTAATGTAATTAGACCGAGTTCGCAAACTGTATATAATAGTCTTACTATAAGTTCTGCATAAGAATAACATACTTTGCAGACGGTACATTATTATATCGAGTTGGGAGCAAATTTGTATCATCATTGTCATGACGAACGTTTCGGATCCAATTGTCACGAGGCAAGCAATTACAATGGATAATGCTTGATAAGTGTATGTGAAATAGAATGCTAATTTCCTGTCATAATCATATGGATATGATGCTTTGAGCGGCAGGGCAATATCATCCTTAGCCTTAAGTAATCCTCCAAATGCTAGTGTTGACGATGTGAGGATGCATATTACGAGAAAGTATTTTGTATTCCTTCTGAAACATATTAAAATACCCTGGGAAGTTAAAATTAAAAGTATGCTCTTCTACTTCGATGTGTGTGTCTACCACAAATAGCGTCACTTTTTTAGTATTTAGTAAACTTTCCATCAGCAAATAAAGGTCATGAAAATTCGTTATCATGGATTTTGGGATGATGCAATGGTGGGAGATTTTTGTTTGTCTCTCATTAGAGATTCGGAGACCTTCGGAACAAAAAATGTTAATGCTAAAATTCAAAATAATGTACAGTTTTTGAGCTACAGTAGCGCAGAGTTATATCACGTCATCGCGACGTATTTATTCTAGGATCCGTACATATCGAAATCTTTAGTATATGTATGTATGCTAAATGTTCCTTAGCATCTTAAAAATTAAAAATTGTTATTTGTAGAATCATGAAAGTGTTCCTGTATAGAAACCTTTACAAGAAACATTGATAGCTAATGTTTCTTGTACTGGAACCTGTATGAGATCCTTGTTGCAATATTCTGCAACGGATTCTGTCAGGATACTATAAAGGATCCCTAGAGGACCCATCAGGGTTCCTGTACAGGAACCTTAGAGGATCCCTTCAGGTTCCTGTAAAGGATTTTTCAACTGGGTTGGGATGCTGATTACAAATTCTTATATTAGTTTTCGAAAATTTAAAATGTCGGGCTTAATATCGAATTAATAAAATAAAAAATACTAACCTTGCAATATAATCACAATTTCCTTGCATAATTTCTTCTCTAGTGTCACTTATCTGTAAGCAGTCTTCATTTAAAATATTTATTAATTTCAAAATTTCCTTCTGTTGCAGAAGAATGTTTATCATTTTAGCGCAAATGACACTCGTTGTAATTAGCCAGCATAGCGACTCAGCGAATTGGTCAACATCATTCAATGAATGAAGAATTAGGTTTGTACACAAAGTACCATTAAATGAGTAGAAATAAATAATTACAAAGAATGTAAATATATTATAGAGAATTCTTGTCAAGAACACTGATAGATTTATTGGTCTATAAACACCTGCAATTGTTAAAAATTTTATCGAATACTCCGCTTTGTACATATTTTCAAATTCCTCTTTAAATTTTTCAAAGTTCTTTAATTTCTTAATTTTTTCAATTTCTTCTCTTGTTGCTTCTTTATTTGTAGTTTTTAGCAAAAGGAAATTGGGAATAAATTATTACTAGCCGGTAACTTAATTGTGACGAATATACGTAGAGAGAATTCATATTTGCAAAAAGCGAGGCGCAAAGAAATTGTACTTTTTTATATTAAAAGGGTGGAAAGTAGTAGAGTAGCAAAGTTTGAACGAAATACAATTGCAAGTGTTTAGCTTGATGTGGAACTTGTAAGGAAATTTTCAATAAGGAATTCTGAATATAGATCTGGAAAGGAGTAATTATCAGTAACGCAACAGCCGAGTAAAATAATGACAATCACATTCTCGACGCTTTATTGAACCCTTTACTATATTCATCCTCCCACAACTTGATAAATTTTTAAGATATTTCTGTCTTGTTATACTTACTTTTGATTAGAGCGCAATGAATTTTGTGTTTGTCTTCAATAAAGCGATGGAAAATTACTATCTTGTCACTTCTTCTTAATTAATTTATTGTTTCGATTCAGAATAATTGAGCTGCCTGATCAAAGAAGGGCACATAACCCATTTTGAATTACATCTGTCTTGTACCCTTCTTTGATCCGGTAGCTCAATTATTCTGAATTGAAACAAAAAATTAATTAAATATTAATTATATTTGTTTGGAATTACATTCTAGGATAATTTAAGAAATCGCAAATATATTTATACATTTGGATTTTAATTTATTTTGAGTAAATTAGTTACAAATTTGAGACGTGCTTTCACGAGGAACCATTATTTGCTGTACAAATTCAAAGGTTGGTTGGTTTGCTGATAACTATCGAATTTTAATTAGAATGATAAATTCAATCGTTTTCGTAAATTTTGTAGAAGAAGAATGTAAACCTAAAGTCAGTAGCCACCCAGTAGCAATAACAAGTAATTCCATAGTCTGCACTTTCAATTACCATACGCCGCTAATTACCATAAGGGAAGCAATTCGATCAGGAAAGGATCATACCTGATCCTTTCCTGATCCTTTTAATTTAAGCACGCAATTCGAGTATTTCGGGACTATTTTCGGCGTTCGCCGTGGGTTAATAATTTTCCAGATCTATCAGAATATTAAGGATGATTGGAATATCGTCAATCCTGGGTGAATGCAATTCTTCTTTCATTTATGCCTTCGTGATATTTGTTATATTTAGTTCATCATACATTCACTCATTGATAAGTTTTTCCAGTTGATTATTTTCCAGCAGCCGTTCGTACCATCCGTTACGCATTTATCGTCTTCAATAAATTATAAGCTGTATAAGATGTTTTTAATATCTGTTAACAATAAATATATAATGTCATTAGACCGAGTTCAACGACTTAGAGGAGACTGAAAAATGTGGAAAAATCTTACCGAGAGAAAAGTATCGTATGTGACTGGAATAATTGATCCGCTCATTATAATTATTGGACGACTTGCGCGTATAGAAATTAACAGAAGATGCTGTTGTGTACTCTTTGTCAGAACTGTCCAATCCATCATGTTCATTACATCAGCTACTTTTAAACTCTGTGAAAGAGAAAAGAAATTAAATCTCTAAGTGTTTCACTCTTTGGATGTAACGATAGCATTTGAAATCTAACGTGAGAAATTATATTTCGTACATAGAGAATATTTATATATACAGTCAGTTCCCGCAATATGAATATTTCGCTATCTGACGAATTTCGTCAACTGACTCTTAATGGGCTTAAATCGGTTTCGCTACCTGACCAACCGTACTTTCACTTTTGACGCGCGCTCAGTGCCGAAAGAGCCTCCTAGTTTTTTTGTGGTTACTCGTAGTGACAAGGCGGCATAAAAATTTTGTTTAGAGCCAAAAAAAAGTTAAAATTTGCTAGGACTACGTCCTACGTCCCTAAAATTGCTAGGATCTTGGTGGAGGGGGAGCGCTTGACGGGATGGTCATATACCGAATATATATTACATTTTTGACCTCCACTCGTACGCTATCAGACTAGTCATGCATTTGACTCAAAAAATAATTTTTCATCTTCTGATTATCGGCTGTGGTTACTTTTTATGAATTGCGAATTAAATTATTTTAATGGCGCAGATATTAATTGGAATTATTCTAGCAATAGTTTAGGATCAGTAAAAAATGGTAATAACTTTTAGTTTCACATACTTTTACCATCACCTCGTGTCCAAAATGGCAATAAAGAAATAGTTGGAATAGAACAGATGCCAGTGCCATACTCTGTATAACAGTCCTGTCATTAATTACATTCTTTGTCGATACACTGTATATAAGAGTACAAATATTTAAAATCGACCCAAACAATTGAAAACCAAGTACAGCACCAAAAATACTGTTCAGTTTTCCACAAAACCTGTAAATTGAAAAGTAACTTAATTTTTAATTGTAACCATGCTGCCTTTCTGGGTAGAGATGATTGTAACCATTTTTCTAACCAGAAAGGGATTATCGTTTCGATTATGGATCAACTATCTGTTTTTGTACCTGTAAACGTAATTATGTTGCATTACACATTTCTTGATAATCTTAGCCTCCTTTCTACTGAATATAACAGTCTTAGTGTTAGCTGTGAACATTAATGGCAAACTTTGCAGACGGTAAAATATGATGTCCAATTGAGAACAAATTTGTATTATCATTGTCATGAAAAACGTTTCGAATCCAACGGTCACGAGACAAGCCATGAAAACAAATAATGTTTGATAAATATACGTCAAATAGAATGGCCATTTTCTGTTATAATCATATGGAAATGATGCTTTGTACGGTAAGGTAATATTATCCTGAGCCTTAATTAATCCACCGAATGTTACTGCTAACGCTGTGAGAATACTTATTACAAAAAAGTATTTTGTATTCCTCCTAAAACAAATTTAAAAGCGCTGTAAAGTAGTAATTGAAGCTCCTGCTCTAACCCTCCTTAGCCAACCCCCCAAACAAGTCGTTTCAATTTTTAAATTACTTCTCATCTTAATCTCAAGTACTAACCTTGCAATATAGTCACATTTTTCTTGCATAACTTTTTCATTAGTGTCACATATCTGTAAGCAGTCCTCATTTAAAATATTTCTTAATTTAAAAATATTATTCTGTTGCAGGAAAATGTTGAACATTTTGGCAAAGAGCACAATTGCGAATAGAAACCAGCAAAGCGATTCAGCGAATTCGTCAATATCATTCAATGAATGAAGAATTAGGTTTGTACACAAAGAAATATTAAATGAGTAGAAAAAAATAATTACAATGAATGTAAATACATTATAGAGAAATTTTGTCATGAACAGAGACAAGTTTTTTGGTCTATAAACACCTGCAATTGTTAAAAGTTTTATCGAATACTCCGCCTTGTACATAATTGTAATTTATTTTCTAATTTCCAATGATCATTAAATTCTTCTTTTTGGTTGCGGATATTTTTGTTTTCAGCAAAGAAAAATAAAAATTAGCACCAGTTAAAATTTATATTTGTTGAAGGTAATGATAAAAATGAGCATCAGTAAAAATTTATATTTGTTGAAAGCAAGTAGAAGGTGGTGGTAATAAAGAAAAACAAAGTATGGCACGAAATACAATTGCAAGTGTTTAGCTCGATGTTCTCTTAGAAGTAAATTTTCAATAAGAAATACGAAATATAGATCTGGAAACGAGTGCTTGAAATAAAGATTATTTATTCATCCGTCGCTATTCACCGCATTGTATAGAATTTTAAAATTATAATGATAGGATATGTAGCTATGAATAACGTTTCGTTTTATGCGAGGGAGAATGGCACATATTTTATCATTTTGCGACAAAGGTTTCATTAGTTATTTATCGATAGAGTAACGGCTAAGAATTTTAATACGCAAAATGATGACAGTCACATTATTTATCAACGCTTTATTGGACGCTTTATTCAACCCTTTATTTTATTCATTATGTCAGAACTTTGTAAATTTTCTAGATATTTCTATTCTTTAGAATGTTCTCTTATTATTCTAACTTCAATGCACAGTAACATATACTTTCTTTTAGTTTTCTCTGAATCAATTTTCTTTTATAGATATGTTGATGTTATAACCACATGCATACTAACCAACAAAATTGGAGAAACAATTCAGACTTTCAATGGCTATGATGAAAGACTATAATTCATCTTTGAAATTCCAAAGAATAATAGTAATAGCTTTTTAGACGTTCTTATAATTAATGACAATAACAAGCTCATAAATGATTGGTATAAAAACCTACATTCTCTGGATGCACTATTAACTACCACACCAAATACCCTTTCAACCAAAAAATTGCCATGGTATACAATCTAATAAATAGAGTTATAAAACTTTCTCACAATAAATTCCACTCAAAAATAATTGAATTCGTTAAAGATATTTTATTAAAAAAACAACTTCCCCATAGATTTCATGAACAGATGTACGAGAAAACAAATCCGTTACTTGAATTTAGAACACAACACTAACAGAATCAATAATTTTTCTAATATCTTACCAAAAAAGTAATTTTACCATACTTAATCTATTGTATGAGTATTGATAAATTTTCCCAAATGATTTTTTCCAAGAAACTCTTCGTTCAACCTTTTAGGCATTTATTGTCATCAATAAATTGTAAGCTGCATAAGATGTTCTTAATATCTGTTAACGATAAATTTTGCAATAACTTTATAAAATATAATATAATATTCAAGTTAACTTTATTTAACTTTTAAAGAATCAATCAGTTCACAATTTCAAAGATCTTACCGAGAGGAAAGTATCGTACGTTATTGGAATAATTGATCCACTCATCAGAATTATTGGACGACTTGCGCGTACAGAAATTAACAGAAGATGGTGTTGTGTGCTCCTACTCAGCACTGTCCAATCCATCATATTCATAACGTTAGCTACTTTCAAACTCTTGGGAAGAAAAAATAAATTAGAAATCTGTGAGTAATTTGCTTTTTATGTTGAATTTTGTCGGTTTCCGTAATCGAAATCTCCCAACTTTAAGAATAGAAGGAATGGGTCTAATTTCCTCCTAATTTTAACTCTCCGTTAAACACATGTTCCGACGAGAGGAATCCAACAAATTAGATGATCTTCTGTCCATCCCCTCCAGCAAGTCATCATCTGGTTTGATTGTTACTTTTGGGGAAACCACCACTACCTGAAAAAGGACTTCTCCGAATAAAACGACAATAAATTGTAATATTCAGTCAGTCTCTGTAAATTAACGTTTGAATAAACTAGTCGTTAGAAGTAAGTCAAGGTGTCGGACGGAGGGTTAAAATTAAGAGAACCTTAAAGTATGAAATCGAAATCTGCTACGGAATATTAACTTCCGTTGGGAAATTAAAGATTATGATAAAACATGACGCGACGGTAGTGATAACTAAAGTGATTACTTTTGGTTTTACATACTTTTACCATGACCTCGTTTCCAAAATGACAATAGAGAAATAATTGGAATAGAACAGTCGTCAATGTGATACTCTGTATAACAACCTTGTCATTAATTTCATGCTTCGTCGATAAAATAAATATTAGGGTACAAATGTTTGACACGAATCCAAAGAATTGAAAACCGAGTACAATACCAAAGATATTGTTCAAGTCGCTACAAAACCTGTAATTAAATACAACCTGCAATAATTACATCCGTTAATCTTTATGTTTTTTAGTAGATACTCTTCCCTGACAGAAGACGCTCCACTATACCTGTAAACGTAATTATGTTGCATTACACATTTCTTGATAATTCTAGCTTCCTTTTTACTGAATACAAGAGACTTCGTATCATCTCTGTACAATAATGGTAGACTCTGCAGACGGTAGACTATTATATCCAATTGGGAGCAAATTTGTATCAGCATTGTCATAACAAATGTTTCATATCCAATGATGACGAAAGATCCAATAAAAATAGATATTGTTTGATAAATGTATGTAAAATAGAATGGTAGTTTTCTGTTATAATCATATGGAAAGGATCCTTTGAGCGGTAAAATATGGTCGTCCTTAGCCATGGCTAATCCTCCGAATGATAATGCTGACGCTGTGAGGATGCAGATTACGAGAAAATACTTTGTGTTCCTTCTGAAATGAATTAGGTTCAATTAGGATGATTTCGGCATTCGATCAGGATTAACCCAACAGAAATTGTTGGACAATCATCACCGGATAATGATGGTCCAACAATTTTTGTTTGGTTTAGCTAATCACAATTAATCTGCAGGGTGATAATTAACAAGGGGTGTTAACCCCGCTATAGGATCATTATACCTTCCAGAATGGACTGGAGAAAGGGTTTTCCACTTAGGGACGAAGTATGATATACGGACCTTAGTGGTCAAGAAAACATTTACTTTCTAGGTACGTTTCTAAAACTTTTTATGTTTGTCAAATTTACATTTTAAAAACGTTTAGGGTTCTAAAAACGTTTCTTAAACATTGAACGTTTTTAAAATGTTAATTTCGCAGACATGAGACGTTTTAGGAACATTCCTCGAACGTGAATGTTTCTTTTGCCCACTGGACAATCATTGACCCAGAGCAAGTTGGCAACTTATCGATAGAAAAGATATTGGACTTCTGGAGGAGAAGACTCTAAATAGTTTTTGGAAGCACTCCAAATTGATTGAAATAAAAGCGAACCGAAAACGACTAAAATGGGTATTAACCAAAGTATCATCCTTGTGATGATACTTAGAATAAAAGAGACCATCCTTTACTAGAAGACGAGGCAAAATAAATACTAACCTTGCAGTATGATCACACTTTCCCTGCATTAATTCTTCCCTAGAGTCACTTGTCTGTAAGCAGTCTTCATTAAAAATATTCACTAATTTCAAAATTTCATTCTGTTGCAGGAGAATGTTTATCATTTTGGCGAAGATAACACTTGCTGAGAGGAACCAACATAGCGATTCAGCGAATTCATCAACTTCGTTTAGAGAATGAAGAATTAGGTAAGTACACAATGAGATATTGAATGAGTTAAAAATAATAATCACTGAGAATGAAAATGTATTATACAAAATTTTTGCAACAAATGACGACCAGTTTATTGGTCTCCGAACACCGGCAATGGTAAAAATTTTTATTGAATACTCAGCTTTGTACATTTTCGTAAACTTTTATCTACTTTTCTTTTCATTAAAATTTGTTTTCTGTAATATTTGCTGTAGGTGATTTCGTAAAGTGTAGGTTCTCGAGAATCAAAAATAAACTTTTTTTTGGTACATCGTTTAGGAAATTGCTTTTTTAATTGTCTTGCAAATTATAAAAATTTATAATACAACTTGCTTATAAGCTTATAGCCTGTTCAAAACTGTTTGCGATTATAAAATTTTCAATAAGTATGAAGGAGGCTAGTTTACAGAATAAGTGTTTCGAAATATAGATATTTATTATTACAGTAGTTGTTCACCCCATGTTATGAAATTTTTAAAAGAATAATGATAGGTATGTTGGGAAATGAATATAATTCCTTCTAATGGATAAGAAAGTCGTATTTTCAATAACTGCAGTTTCGCATTATTTATTCACAAGGCTGTAAAGAGTCTGAAAATGATGACAAGTTTTAATGCTTCATCGCATCTTAATTCATTTATCATGCAGCCACTTATTGATAAGTTCTCCAAGATATTTCTATTCTTACGCATCTGCTATGCATTTATCGTCTTCATTAAATTATAAGCTGCGTAAGATGTTCTGAATATCTGCCACTAATAAATATTTTAACTGTATAAAGTACCATTGAGTCGCTTTATTTTAAACTCTAAGAGTCGGTTCCACAATTGTTTTAACCGGAGTTCAAGTCTGTGAAATTGGTTTAATGTAATTAGACCGATTTCGCAATATTAAATTCTGGTTAATACAGTTGAAGAACCGGCCCTAAAAGAGTCTATCAGTATACAACAATTCAATGAAAAAGATAAAAAGTAATTATAACTGAAAAGATAATGTTGAAGTTATATTTATTACGAGCATCTCTAATTTTAGTCTTTAAACTGACCAAACGAGAGGACCTTATCCAAATCATCAACCAGCATTACATCAATTCTAGTACTAGAATTGCTTATGTAATGGGGTTTGGACATTATTTTTAAAACAATAAAACCAAAATTCTTGATTAGAAGTTTGTTGATGTTTAATAGAAAAATTGACTACATTTTTTAGTTAATTTATACAATTTGGGACCAGTAAACAATTTTTTGACTAAAAATTGTTAGTAAGAAAATAAAGTTCGCTCAAAAGTAATATTTCATCTTCTGCTGATTATCGGCTGTAGTTACTTTTTATAAATTGTGAATTAAATTAATTTTGATGCATCCTCCTTTCATTTACTGGTTAATGGTCCTAACAATTAGTTCATCATACAATATTTAACTGATAAGTTTTCCCAGATGATTTTCGCCAAGAAACTCTATTCGTACCAGCTGTTAGGTAGAGTCAGGTATTTATCGTCTTCAATACATTATAACCTGCATAAGATGTTCTTAATATCTGTTAACGATAAATTTTCCTTTAACATTGTAAAATACGTGGGCATGTAATATTCGATTCGGGTTCATTTAACTTTTAAAGGGTAAATCAGTTAAATTCCAAGATCTTACCGAGAGGAATGTATTGTAGGTGATTGGAATAATTGATCCACTCATCAGAATTATTGGACGACTTGCACGCAGAGAAATTAACAAAAGATGGTGTTGTGTGTTCTTTGTCAGTCCTGTCCAATCCATCATGTTTATGACGTTAGCCACTTTCAAACTCTGGGAAAGAGAAAATAAATTAGTAACTTGTATGTTGTTTTCAGATAAATTTTATGTTTCCAAAACAGAAATCTCATAATTTTAAGAGGGGAGAGTTTCTGATCTCCTAATTCTAACCCCCTGCCCAACACATGTTTTGATGTCCATGTGATGCTATATTTCCATGATTATGATAAAACATAATGATTACTAAAGTGCATACTTTTTTGCTTAACTTACTTTTACCATGAGCTCGTTTCCAAAATGACAATAGAGAAATAGTTGGAATAAAATAGTCGTCAATATGATACTTTGTATAACAAACTTGTCATTAACTTCATGCTTCATAATAAATATTAGGGTGCAAATGTTTGACACGAATACAAAGAATTGATAACCGAGTACAGCACCAAAAATACTGTTTAGTTTACTACAAAACCTGAAATTATATACTGTAAGTAATAATTTATAAACAAGTAATAATTTATAATAATAATTTATAAATCTCATGTTCGTTAATCTTTATGTTCTTCAGTCCCCTAGAGCATCTAAACTTGTAGCAATATTGACAACGTACCTGTAGACGTAATTATGTTGCATCACACATTTCTTGATAATCCTAGCCTCCTTTTTACTGAATATAAAAGACTTCGCATCATCTCTGTACAATAATGGTAGACTCTGCAGACGGTAAAATATTATATCCAATTGGGAGCAAATTTGTATCAGCATTGTCATAACAAATGTTTCATATCCAACGGTCACGAAAGATGAAATTAAAAGAGACATTGCTTGATAAATGTATGTAAAATAGAATGGTAGTTTTCTCTTATAATCATATGGAAATGATCCTTTGAGCGGTAAATGAAGATCGTTCTTAGCTGTGGCTAATCCTCCGAATGATAATGCTGACGCTGCAAGAATGCAAATTACGAGGTAATACTTTGTGTTCCTTCTGAAATAAATTAGGTTCAATTAGGATGATTTCGGAATTCGATCAGGATTAACCTAACAGAAATTGTTGGACAATCATCACCGGATAATGATGGTTCGACAATTTCTGTTGGGTTTAGCAAATCACAAATAATCATCATATCTTCCAGAATGGACTGGAGAAAGAGTTTTCCACTTAGGGACGAAGTATGGTATACGGATCCCCGTAATGGTCACGGAATAAAATAGACCATCCTTTACTAGAAGGCGAGACAAAATAATTATACTAACCTTGCAGTATGATCACACTTTCCCTGCATGATTTCTTCCCTAGAGTCACTTGTCTGTAAACAGTCTTCATTAAAAATATTCACTAATTTAAAAATTTCATTCTGTTGCAGAAGAATGTTTATCATTTTGGCAAAGATAGCACTTGCTGTAAGGAACCAACATAGCGATTCAGCAAATTCGTCAACATCGTTTAGAGAATGAAAAATTAGGTATGTACACAGTGAGATAGTAAATGTGTAAAAAATAATAACCATAAAAAATGAAAATATATTGTACATAATTTTTGCGACAAATGACGACCATTTTGTTGGTCTTCCAACACCGGCAATGGTAAACATTTTTATTGAATACTCTGCTTTGTACATTTTCGTAAAATTTTACCTTATTTTCTTTTCATTAAAATTTGAGTTCTACAATATTTGCTGTAGGTATTTTGTTAAATTTAGGTTCTAGGAAAACAAAAATGCACTTTTTTGGTAGATCGTTTGAAAAATTGCTTCTTTAATTTCTTTGCAAATTACAAAAAATTGTAAAAAAAATTGTAAAAGATTCGTATAGTATAGAATAAAGAGGGTTAAGTAAATTTAGCTAAAGGAATTTAGCTAGTAGAATAAATTCATAAACTAAATTTATAAAATAAAATTTATCCAACAAAATTCTTATAGTGCTAAAGTAACAGCTTGTTTATAAGCTAATAGCTTGTTCAAAGCTGTTTGCGATTACAAAATTTCCAATAAGTATGAAGGAGTCTAGTTTTCACAATAAGTGCTTCGAAATATAGGTATTTATTATTAAAGTCGTCTTTCACCCCATGTTATGAAATTTTTAAAAGAATAATGATAGGTATGTTGGGAATTGAATATAATTCCTTGTAATGGATAAGAGAGTCGCATTTTCAATAACTGCAGTCTCGCATTATTTATTCACAAGGCTGTAAAGAGTCTGAAAATGATGACAATTTTTAATACTCCATCCCATCGAGTACTAGTTCATTTATCATGCAGCCACTTATTGATATGTTTTCCAAGATGATTCTATTCTTACTTACTGCTATGCATTTATCGTCTTCATTTAATTGTAAGCTGCATAAGATGTTCTTAATATCTGTTAACGATAAATTTTATTTTAACAACAAGGTATATTTTGTACGTACCATGAAGATTTATTTCTAAGACAGGAGGAACTTAGATTTTATGTTGCTAATAACTTGCAATTAATTTAACTCATTACCTCTCTTGTCTTGTACTTAGAAATAGACCTCTTTGGTGAATGCTAATTATGGCTGATGTTGGCTTTTACTCAGAGTTAGTCTCTTGAATAGTGAGCTGATTCTTAAAAATTTGTGCCAATTGAAATTAGGAAAGGGAAATAGAAGAACAGTGGGCAAAGGGTACGAAAAAATTAACTAACTTCTTACCGAGAGAAAATTATCATAAGTTATTGGATTTATTGATCCACTCATCATAATTATCGGACGGCTGGCACGTAGAGAAATCAGCAGAAGATCGTGTTTTGTGTTTTTTGTCAACACTGTCCAATCCATCACGCTTTATTATATTTGCTAGTTTCAAACTCTAGAAAGGAGAGAATAATTTAGACATCTGGATTAATGGTAAGTCTTGTCATCAATTTCTTTCTTGGCCGATAAACTGAATATAAGTGTACAAATATTTAAGTCTGACCCAAAGAATTGAAAACCAAATATATATCCAAAAATACTGTTTAGTGTTCTACAAAAACTGTAATTTTGAAAATATAATAATTTTAATTGTAACCATGCTACTAACTACTATTTCCATTTTGTCCAGAAGGATAAAACTTAATCATCTATAACCAACATTTGCTCTAAGCTTACTTTTCTCCTAATCCTAAATTCTAAAGTCAACCTAAATAATTTTTAGACCAAATGTGTTTTAGATGCTTTTTTACATCCTTTCAGCAGATGCAAGCAGATACCAAATTGAACGCCTTGATGCAAGAACCAGCCCATTACTATTGACGTGATCTTTGACTATTGTTCTATTAACATCCCCCACAGCATCTAAACTTGCAGCAACATTGAAAATATTGACAACAGCAATATTGTCAATGTTGCTGCAAGTTTAGATTCTGTGGGAGATAAAATATGTGCATAGTCTATGTCTATTTCTTGCACCAAGGGGTTCAATTGTGACATTAGCCAAAGTAAATGTCAAATTGTAAAAAAAGAAAAGCTCGGGTTTGTTCTAAAATATGTCTTAAATTTTCAGTAATATTTATCTTTATGTTGCAAATAAAAATTTGATTCATATAGAACATCATTTATGTATTTGTTATTATCAATTCTCCAGGGTGAATATGAGTCCAAAATTGACATGTTATTAGAATAAATTTTAGCCAGTTGTTCATATGTTAGAAAATTGGGGTTGTAAGGATATACAGACAAAAGGTAACTTTTCAACATATTCACAGCTTCAGTGAATGTTTTCATTGGAAAATTTGACGAGATGACTTCTGCAGCTCTTTCAATAGCAGTCATCCTCATGGAATGTAACGTACACGGCTGGGTGAGTGCGATTTTAAATTAAAATTCGTATAAGAGACAAGGATGGGTAATTCAAAATTCAAGTTTATAAAACATCTATCTATGCAGAAATTCTGCTTTGGACACCTGTTCGAAAGCCACGACGTCATGTCCATCACAATCGTAATAGTTCGTGACTAACGTATAACAAAAACACTTGCCACGAACTAATAAGATAATGGTGGAAATGTCACGTTTAAAAAAAATAATATAACTTTTATATTATATATATAATATATATGTATAAATAATATTATATTAAATAAGGAAAAGATGACACTAGAGGACCTTGAAATTATAAACGATTTACTGTAGATGTTAAATAAATTTGACAATGAACATCTGTATGGATAAAAAATAATCATATTCTCAACTTTATCGATCCCTTTTATTACTTTGTTCATCGTTTAGAAAACTTGTAAATTTTCAGAATTATTATATAACCTGTGCCAGGTTGCATCAGTCCGTAAAATACAATCATTTATATCCACCATATAATTTTAGTTTATAAAAAATATGTCACCGTTAGGAGTTAATAGTTTTCATTAAATTGTAGGTTGTGTACGAAGTTCTTAAAATCTGTTTAAAGAAAATAACATTCGTTTCTAATTACTTTAATACTATTTTATAATTACTATCAAAATCTTCTATTCTAATGTAAAAAAAATATTAATTATACCGAGAGAAAAGTATCGTAAGTTATTGGAATTATTAATCCACATTTCATAATCACCGGACGACTTGCACGCAAAGAAATTAGAAGCAGATCTTTTTTTGTACTCTTTTCTAATAATGTCCATTCAATCTTGTCTATAACTTTTGCAAGCTTCAAACTCTGGAGAAAAATTTAATTATTTAATTTTGTTTGCTAATCATTTTTTACTAGTTTCTTAAAATTCACCATTAAATATAAACCCTAAACTTACCGTCACCATAACCTCATTTCCAAAATGACAATAGAGAAATATTTGAAATAAAAAAGTTGTCAACGCCATACTTTGAATGACGAATTTATCATTAATTTCGGTTTTCGTCGATAGACTATATATGAGGGTACAAATATTTAGCACTGCCCCAAAGAATTGAATGCCGAAGACAATATTAAAAATGTTGTTCAATTTAATACTGAAACTAAAAACAAAAAGATCATTACGAGACGATGTAATAATCTACAGAATTATCAAGAAAAGGCGTCTGGTACGTACCTGTAAATGAAATTATGATGTTGAACACAATTTTTGATAATTTTGGCCTCGTTTTCTCTGGATGTATTCCGACAGTCCTTATTCATTTTGTACACGGAGGACAAATTTTGTAAACGATAGTAGACAATATTGAGTTGAGAGCACAGTTGAATCATCATTGTCATGACAAATGTTTCAGATCCAATTGATATAAATGCGCCGATGTAGATAGAAATCGATTGAGAAACATATGAGAGGCAAAAATTGTCATCATACGGATATGAGGCCTTTAGTGGAAGACTGATATTATTTTTGCCCTTTGCCAAACCTCCGAATGTAACCGTCGACACTGTGATAAAGCAGACGATAAAAAAATATTTCGTTCCCTTTCTGCAACAGAATAATTTCTCTCAAAAATATTATTTAATTTATTAATGGCTAATTAGGAGTAGAAAAAAAAGAGGTAATAGAAAAGTAACGTTATGGAGGGATACACACCTTGCTGTAGTATCACATTCTTCTTGAATTATCATTTCACAATTGTCACGTGTTCTTAAATAAGTATTCTCACCTAAGGTACTTAATAGTTTAGCAACATCATTTCGTCGAAGAAGGAAATTTACCATTTTTGCACAACATATACTTGTCGATAGGAACCAACACAAAGATTCGGCGAATTCATCAATATCGTTTAATGAATGAAGCAAAAAGTAACCACCCAAAGTTATGTTGAAGGAGAAGAGAATAATAATCACTATGATCGTGTAGATATAGTACAGAATTTTTCTTTTCGAAGATGAATAATTTTTCGGTCTATAGCAACCTACGATTGTCAAAAGTTTTATGGAATAATCAGCTTTGTACATTTTTCAAAAAAAATCTCTTTTTTCCTACCGCTAAATTACAATTACTCCAAATAAACTGATCGTAGGTTCTATTTTCAAAAACATAATGAACTTGTGCTACAAAAATAGTGCTAATGAAAACTATTATTGAGGTAGAATTATTCTGTGAAGCACATACTAGTGTAGCATAGCTGGGATAAAATTTCTATAAAGGGTATAAAGATAGAATTTTCTGTAATCGGATATAATGTGAAACGTTATTTATTATTTAGTCATTCACTCCATATTCGAGAATTTGATGATAGACAGGCAAAAGTAAAATGCAAATTGTTCTCGTTGATAAATTCAATGTTGTAGAGCAGTTCTCATCATTTATTTAAATCTACATATGAATGTAAAGAGTTCAGAATGCGTAAAACGGTAATAGTCACATTATGAATCCTCTATCCAAACCTATTATTATTTCATTCATCATGCAACCACTTATCGATAAGTTTTCTAAGATGTTTCTGTTTCTTTATGTTCTGCTATGCATTTGTCGTCTTCATTAAATTATAAACTGCGTAAGATGTTCTTAAAATCTATTTACGATAAATTTTATTTTATAAAATGAAACTTTATGAAATACGACTATTTCTAAAGCAGAAGCCGAATGCTTGTGGATTTTTGTTACATCCGTACTTGTAACAAAATTGTTATAGTTTATCATAATTGAAAATTAACGGAGGTATATTTGCAATACAATATTGACAAAGAAGGAAGAAGTAAAAGAAGCAAAATACAGTATTAAAGAATTTAGGAAATATGAAAAGGAAACTTACCAATCTTTTATTTTATTTATTATTATTTTTTAACAACACTTATGTTTACCTTAAATTCGTCACTTCTGACAAAGATTAATAATTTATTGACATTCACCTGCAAACTCGTCACATCGATGTTCAAAATCTACATAATAATCTCGGAAATTAATCGTTCCTTTCTTTTGTTTTTATTGTTTAAAATCGCGAGAGTAAGACTCTCGCCTCTCGTGTGGCGCCGCGTGGAACTAATTACCCACCGCAGAGTGACATTACCGACGAGTGATAATTGACCAACGAACTTTAAATTAATAATTCCTCTGGGACTCACCAGTAAAAAACGAAGCGCGCGGTTGGCGATGCGTTCGTTGCTGACAAGTCAGCCATTTTTATTCTGATTCTCGTTCTGGCTGTCATACAGTGTGCGTCACGATTGTGACTAATCTAAATAAAATTAAAAATAATTGTTTGTATAAAGAAAATGAGTCGCGGGTCCATCCGAGGAAGACGTCGTCTTGACGGTGAGTCCCCTTTCTTGTCTGAATGAGCTGTCCCCCGGACTAGTCTCAAATTTGTAGATCATAAATATTAATAGTAAAATCCGAGTCTTGTTTAGGCGGCTTGCCGCCGACTAATGTTAACGAATTTTTATCAAGTAATAAAAATAAATCAGTGTTAATTTTGATAAATCAGTGTTGTTCAGTGATCATCCTTACTGCCCCCTCTCTGCGGTTATGAGTAATTTAATTAACGACAAATGAGCAGTCGGTATAATATGTTAATCTCTTGGTTTGGTCATTCCGTGTCAAAATGGCCTAGCGCCATGGGCAAATCCATACTCTATGAATAATCAAAATAGATAACAGGTTTTCCATTAACCAAATTTAATCTCTTTGTTTTAGAAAAGAAAAATAAATAATTCCAAATTAAAAATAATTAAATTAAAGTTCAATTAAAATTTATAAATTAACTCAATATGGTAAAACCTGTTACAAATGGCGCCCAACGTGGAGCGCGATGATCACTGAAAAAAAAAATTTCTGGAATAAACAAGACTCGAATTTGAAAATTATTTTATGTGTAAAATGGAAAATCGAGTAAATCCGAGACTTTAAAATGTGTGAAATTTTGAAAATAAAGTTGGAATCACCTTTATGATTCGAACTTCAAATTGATTATTAAATGCGCGTCATAACGAGTTTTAAGTGAAAAATAGAAAGCATAGGTCATTGACCTGACTATGACGCTATATTGAATTCTCGGGTTTACACAGTTCAGCGTTATTGAGAATCAAAATAATAAAATCAAAAAATTCGAAAATTAGTAAAATAAAAATGGGTGAGCAATAAAGGTGTCACTTTTAAACCTGTTACAGTACATAATATAATAAAAAAGAAGTAACTGCATATATGCTGTCCTTCAGATTTGCATACTTTTTTGAAAACCCCGTCATTTCTATGATAGTTTTTAGTTCGTGACTAAAATGATAAATATTTCCCATGAACTAATAACATACTAATAGAAATGCCACGGTTTTTATAAATGCATTGGAAACTGGAAGGATAGCATATAAGTAATTGCCTGTATGTGACGCGCTGAAACTTTAATTTTAACGTATTATTGCATTTTTTTAAAAAGTGTAAATAGAAAATAATTATTTAGAGACTTTCTAAATATATTCCTTTTTATTAAAGATATTACATTCTTTTATTACATTGTATATGAGGCATTCCATTTCAAAACGACCCCCTTCATAATCAATTGCCATTGTAAGGCAATTTTTAAATAATTATTTCTCCTATTTATTAAAGCCAAACATTATTCACTAATACTGTTTTTAAAAGAAAAATTTCTCAACTTTACGATAGTAAAAAATTTTTTTTAAAAAATAATATTATTTAAGCTTTATTTTGACATAAGTTTCAAGAAAATCGGAGGCAACGTGTTTTGAGATATTCAAAAGGTTATCTTTCAAACTTAATTTTTTTCATAAATAATATTATTTTTTAAAAAAAAATTTTTACTATCGTAAAGTTGAGAATTTTTTTTTTTTAAAACAGTATTAGTGAATAAAGTTTGACATTAATAAATAGGAGAAATAATTATTTAAAAATTGCCTTACAATGGCAATTGTTTATGAAGGGGGTCGTTTTGAAATGGAATGCCTCATATGTAAAAATACATTTTTAATTTAAAGAAAAATTGCAGTGTACATATATAATTTCTGAATTAAATTCCTATAGTAGAATATCCGTGCAGTTATTTTGTGAACAGTTTTTCCAAGAGTATTTTTTTGCCAACAATTCAACAATTTTTTTATATATTATCCGTAGTTTCTTGTCACAGTTATGAATTTAAATTTTTTATTAAATTGTAAGCTGCGTAGGACGTTCTCAATATCTGTTTAAGGACAAATTTTTAATTTACTTTTGTATATTTTGTCTAAGATTTCTGTTAATATTTTTGGAAATAATAGATTCGCGAACCGAATGCATGAGATGAAAAAGGATAGAAGTATAATAATGTTCTTTTTTAATCTCATGTGCGCAGGCGCGAACGAGGCACTAGAAACTTGCACCTGCGCCTTTATTAACTACATTATGCTGTTTCTACAATAAACTTACTTTATTGTCATTCAACGTTACATCAAGGCTATTGTAAAAAGGGTAGAAAAGTAGTTTGGCCTTTAAGGGGTTGCCACAGTCAATTTAATTTTTACATATTTTACAAATTGTATAGACTGTGGGACCCCCTTAAGAAAAGTAAGCGTCGTAATTATCAGAATTATAAATATAATTGAACGACAAAATTAAAGAGAATAGAAAAAATAATGAGACTTACCATGAGAAAAGTATCGTATGTTATGGGAAAAATAGACGCACTGGTCAATATAATTGGACGAGTTGCACGTAAGTGAATAAAAAGAATTTGATGTTGTGCATTTTTTGTCAATACCGTCCAATCCATCATGGTCATAATATTTGCTAGTTTCATACTCTGAGTGTATTAAAGAAAAATTCATTAAACCGTTTCTCTAAAGGTCATTCTACAACTAGTTGTCAAATGTTGGCAAACTTGAAGTATGAGATAGAGAAGGATAGGTATATACATCTATCCTTTTTTCGCTCATGCTCTTTCACGTACTTTTAACATAACCTCATTTCCAAAATGGCAATAGAGAAATATTTGAAATAATATAGCCGTCAATACACAACTCTGAATAAAAGCACTGCCATTAATTTCATTTTTTTTTCGATAAACTAAATACTAGGGAACAAATATTCAGCATTGTTCCACATAGTTGAATACCAAAAATGATGTTAAAAATACGGTTTAGTTCACAGCCGAATCTGCAATAAGTTTTTTGATTAGAAAAAGCAAAGTTTTAGTATTTTAGGATCTTTATTGTAAACCAGCCTTAAGATGTGACCTTGGATTTAAGGCTAATTAACAATAAGTATTCATTGCGTGATGGAACCTTCCAAACTACCCTTTAGATATGACCTTGGTTTTAAGGCTAATTTACAATAAGTCTTCTTCAATAGAAAATTTCGTCATACAAGGTTGGGTAGTTGAGAGAAATGGTAAAAAAAATTCATACAACAGGGTTGGATAGTTGTCGACACATTTGGAAGGTTTACCACCTAAAATCTACCTGTAAACAGAATTATGATGTAAAACACAATCCTTGATAATTTCCGCCTCCTTTCTATCTAATAGAATTGTAGATTTTTCGTTATTTTGACTCAAAAGTGGCAAATTTTCCAAACGGTGATAAATTATATCTAATTGACAGCAAATTTGTATTATCATTGTCATAATGAATGTTTCGGATCCAACGGAAATGAAAGCGCCAATATAAGAAGACAACGATTGGCTTAAGTACACTCGATTCTCGTTATAACGACGAACTCGGGACTTCAAAATCTCGATATTACGACGGAAGGAGAGGATCCTACTTCACGTTCTATTCAAACGCATGAATTTATCCGTGATTAACAGTACAAAACGTCAAATACGTGCAAAATTTTTCGTAAAGTATGTTTATTTATATTAAAAGTTCTGAAATATGGAATCAGTTTAAAGAAAAAGTAAGTAGTTTTGATAATAATCGGATCACTAGATTCTTTAGGTTAAATAAAGTTAAGGGTTGATTAATTTTGTCGTTTTTTTTTGAGTTAACCAAAATTTTGGTTAAATTAAATTCTTAAATTCGTTCGTGTTTTTTTTGTCGTTGTATCGAGAGTTTTAATATTCGTTATAACGAGAGAACGTTGTAACGAGATTCGTTATAACAAGAATCGAGTGTATGTTAAAATAAATGGTATTTTTTTGCTATAATCGTAGGGAAACGATGCTTTCAATGGTAAATTGATATTTTCTCTTGTTAGTTCACCGATTAATACCGATGACACTGACGTGATGCATATTATCAAATAATATTTTGTATTTCTTCTGAAAATTAATTAAAATTTATTGAAAGTGTGTAATTTTTGGTTAACTGCCCAACCCTGCTGATGGATTTCTTGGAACCTTTGGAGAATAAAGGTACCGTCCCATGACGGCGTAAAAGCGTCGGCGTAAAACAGAAATCGTGCGATAGAAAGAGATAAACAGATATCACGTTCTCACTCACTCACATGGTTTACGCTTTACGCCGACGCTTTCACGCCATCATGGGACGGTACCTTTAGGCTGGAGTTCCATGGCAGCCTTTTTCGTTGCGTTTTGTAACTAGGCCATTAGTGCAAATATAGCAAACATATATCTCCATCTCTCTCACACTCATTGCCAAGTTACAAAACGCAACGCAAAACGTTGCCTGCGACTTCAGCCTTAGGCAGGGTTGTGCAGTTAACTTTCCAGACTGTTTGTAGAAAGGCCAATTTACAATTAAATCTTAAAGAAAGTTGAATTAAGCTTCGTTCACAATGAAAATAATTCATTTTATACCAGACTGTAGGAAGGCCAATTTATAATCAAATTTTTAGGAAAAACTTGAGTTTAGCTTCGTTCACAATAGAAATAGTTAATTGTATACTGACCTTGCTATAATATCGCATTTCTCCTGCAATATTTCCTCGGTACTGTCGCGTGTTTTTAAGAAATCTTGATTTAGAAGTTCGATCAATTTTACAATATCACGTCTTCTTAGAAGGAAATTTGTCATTTTCATACAACCCACTGCAGCCGAAAGAAACCAACATAATGATTCAGTGAATTCGTCAATGTCATTCAAGGCATGAAGAGTAATATAGCTAAACATTGAAACATTAAAAGAGTAATAAAGTATAATAATAAATATCGTGAAAATATTGTATAAATGTCTTTTTAATAGAGACGACCATGTTAATGGTCTATAAACACCAGAAAATGTCAAAAGTTTTATTGAATACTCGGCCTTATACATTTTTTTAAAAAAAATTGTTTATATTAATTTTTAATAGAGAAATAGTTTATTTTCTTTTTAATTGAAAAGTTTGCTTCTTCTTTGTCATTTGAGGTTTTGTGGTATATAGAAGTGTTGAGTCTGGTTCTTTTGATAGAAATGATTATTATTACGAGAGAAGAGTAACAGAGGGTGAAACAGTTTCTACTTTATATTATTTTGTAGAGATGAGAGTAAATTTTCAATGAGTGAGACTATAGTTCTAACAAGGAATATGAAATAAATGATTATTTATTATTCCTTTATTCACCCTATTTTGTAGAATTTCAAAAAGATAATGATGCATGCCATCGTTAAATATTTATTCATAGAGCGACGACAAAGTTTAAAATAGTGAAACCTATCAACCCTTTCGTAGAACGAATTATTAATTCATTTGACGCTCAAGCACGTCGCGAATAAATTCGATATGTCAAGTTATTTCTCAACGCTTATAAATTTCTTTGTATTACTACTGGATAGAGGACACCAATGCTCTGGCCGTTTCAATCTTGTGACAAGTAGAAAGTTGGAAGTTGGCCACCATTGGTGGCAATTTTTCATTTTGTAGTGGGTAAATTCAAAAGTATAAAAATATGATTGTTTAATTTTAATACTTAAGAAAAATAATTTTCATGTGAAATGGCTGATTTCGGCAATCGTATCCAGACATTGTAGACCAGATTGTGGAACTAATTTTCTTTTCCGAATTTCACATACCAATTGTGTTAAAAATGATACACGTTTTTTTTAAACGTGTAATATTCTGCTTCTGAACACGAGATACATTTCTTAAAGTTAAAATAATGCATCCGCTTTTCTTTAATTTTTTTCTCAATGACCTCGGTGAATTATAATAATGATGGTCTTCATAAATTTGACGACATTGTTTTGCATTAGGTGTTTCTAGTAACAAATGTTTAAATAAATGTTAATAAATATGTAACTTTTGACGTAAACAAAATCTTAATATGCATTGACGAAATTTGACTTACCAAAATTATTTTCAATTACAACTCTAGATTGCGCTGATGTACCAGAGTTTGTTTGTGGTAATGCGCTATTAGAGCTTTCGGCTGATTCACTAGAGAATGCTGGTATTAATGCGTTGTCAGAACCTATGGACCAAAAAATGTGAAAAGTATTATTAAGAAATTAAATATTGAAACGGTCTTTCTTGTTAGTTTTGTTGAAGCCTTAAAAATAAATAAACCATCACTAATAAATGTAAATTAATTATATTCTTTGGAAATGATTTTTATTTTACAAACAAGCTTACCTAGAGATTTATCTTTTTCGGATAAAACTAATACGTTTTCCATAATATTGTTATTCTCAAAATCTGTTAATTTTAATAATTTTGGAATTCGTAAGCCATTCGGTGAGACTTCTCTTTTGTTGCATTTATTATTAAAAGTTTCCTGAGAATTATGTATATCAACATCTATAAAAAAAGAAATCACTCTTAAATATCTTAAGTTAATTGAAATAATAATTAAAATATTAATAACTTTACCACTACTCCTTGCAAATAAAGTTGGAACAGCATCAGAATTTAGAATTAAATATTTTCCTGTTTTTCTGAAGCAAGTGTTGTCGAAATGATCACTGCACAAAAGACTTCTTTTTGTTACTTCCACATCTTTCAGATTCATTGCAGATAGCCATTTATGTTTTTGACAGTCGCACCAGAGTTATATTACATAAAACCTCCTTCCCAACCCTGCTCACAATTTTTCTTTACCTCTAATGTAACCCAACCCTGATGTCATGTCGTGGAAAATAAAAACAAATTTTCGGTTTTAAAAACAAGTGTTTAGTAAACAGATATATACTTTAAAATAAAAAAAAGAAAGAAAGTAAATCTATGTAATTAAAAAAATGGAAAAATCCGTGGTTTTAGAAGAGACGCAAAAAATAATCGATAGAGCTCCATTTCGAGAGATGAAAATTAATGACACTAGTGTATTGGATACAGTTGACGGTCGTGGTATTTGTGAAAAATGTTATAAATCGAGAAAATATTTTTGTTACACTTGCTATACGTTGATTGTTGATAAAACAATTATTCCACAAGTTAAGGTAATGAAAATATAAAAAAGAAGATTATTATCAGAAATGTTTTTCTTAAAAAAAGAAGAAGGAGAAAATAGTTTAAATAAAATGACAGATTTGGATAATTTTGATAAATCGTATGAAATGATTCTAAATTTTATTTTCAGTAATTTAACGTAATAAGTACTGAATTATAATTTTTCTGACTCTAAACTTTATTCCAGTATTTAAGAAGGGAAAAGATAATTTTTTATGTTGAAATGGTATTTCAGTATGTAGTCAAAATTAAAATTTAATATTATTAAATATTATTATACATAAATAAAATAAAATGATAAATAATGAAATAATTATTAAATAAAAATTATAAATTAGAATTAAATTTTATAAATAGAGAAATATAATTTCAACAAAAATAAAAGTAGGAAATATTCAAAATAAGGTGAACTGAGTACAAATATAACTGAGGAACACAAATTATTCTTTGTAATTATTGAAATTTTGTATATTTTTTGATAGACTTTCTGAAGAGGAAATCATTTAGATTTCGAAACGTTGGAGTAAATATATTTTAATCATTGATAGAATGTTAATAAAATATAAAAATAACAATAAAAATTTAAGTAATAGATTAAATATAAATATTAATTATATATATAATTATTATTAAATATATTATATTATCATTGTCTAAAATGTATTCTTTTGTTTAGATATATTTTGTGAACAAAATTATAATTTCTGTTTTTTTTCAATTACAGTTACCGATAAAAATAGACATTATAAAACACTCGAGAGAAATTGATGGGAAATCGACGGCAGTTCATGCCACAATTTTATCGCCAAATAATGTGAAAATTTACACGTATCCGGATTTTCCTGTTTTATCAGAAAACGAGAAGGTATATTATTCAAACTTTTTAATATTTATTCCTCTTTTTTCTAATATTTTAATTATTTTAATATTTAAAAAAATAAATAATCTAAATTTATTATATTATTAAATATTAAAATGTTTATGTTTAAAATAAAATAAAAAATATTTATTTCACAGATTGTTCTCATATTTCCTGGTAAAACGGCAACGAGCGTCGAATCGCTTTTTACTTGTGATAAAAATGACGAAACAATGAATGAAAATTCACTATTAACGACAAATGGACTTCCAATTACACGTGCAATTTTCATCGATAGTACTTGGCAGCAGACGAAAGCAATTTATAAGGAGCAAAAATTACGAGGTAAATTAAGATTTTTTTTTTTGAATTTTTTATAATTATTTTTAACACTTTCCACAGGAATTCAATTAATTTAGAATCAAATTTTCAAAAAAAATTTCGAAAGAATCAATTATTTCAAAAAATTGTTATACAATCCTTCACAATAATTCAATTATTTTCAAAAATAACAAAATTTTTCACAGAAATTCAATTTATTTTAAACATTTTAATAAAATTCTTTGTAAAATTAAATTATTTTCATAAATAACAAATTATTCATCACAACAATTCAATTATTTTTAAAAGTAATAAATTTTATCTTGTAAATTTATAATTATTTTAAAAATTTTAATAATATGAAATCGTTCGCAAGAATTCAATTATTTTCGTGAATAATAAAAATTTCTCAGGAATTCAATTATTTAAATTAGAATTTGCATATAAAATTAGCCGAAAGAAGTCAATTATTTAAAAATTTTGATAAAATTCTTCGCAAGAATTAAATTATTTTTATATATTAAATAATAAAATTCTTTGATGAATAATAAAATTCGTTGCAGGAATTGAATTTATTATCGCAGGATAATAAAAAAGTAAATATTTTTTATGAAAATTAGGAAAAAGTCAGAAAAATAAAAATAAATAAATAACTGTTTAAAAAAAATGGAGAGTTACAGTTGCAATTATTGTAAAAAAATTGAATTTTTGCATTTAAATAATTTGGATTCTCGAAGAACTTTTGGTAAAAATTATTAAAAATAATTGATTTAGAGATGAAGTTTAGTTAAAAATTATTGTAGAAAATAATTGAATTTTGGAAGGGTTATAGTTGTAATTTTTAGAAATTATTAAATTTCAGTAGGTTTTAAATTGAAATTTCTTGATATAATAATTAATAGTTAAAATTAATAATTAATAATTAACAGTCTGCAATAATGATTAAAATATGAAAAATTATTTTCTAAACAGAATTGCCGTGCGTAGTATTAAAAGGACGAATATCACAATTTTGGAGGCATCAGAAAAAAAGTCCACGATGGTATTTAGCGACAATTGAGGCGATACATCAATTTTTAATTGAATTTCACGCCTGTGCTTTTGATAATTATCGTGAAAATCAAGTGGAAATTCGAAACGATAATGGCGAATTGTCAGAATTGTGCCAGCCTTATAATGGACAATATGACAATTTATTGTTTTTCTTTAAACACATGTACGAAAAAATTCACACTATTTATGATCACGAGCAACTTTTCGCTTATAAACGACCGTTAATTTAATTTAATTTTTTTTTCTGTTTCATTTAGAATAATCGCCAACTGTGATATATTTCTATAAATGATTAATATTAAGAAGAGTAGAGTTTTTTTCTAATTGCAAATTTTTATTTTCAAGTTTGTTTAATTTTTTATTTAATTCAAATTTAATTTTTAAATTTTATTTAGAAAATTTATATTTTCAATTTTGTTTAGAATTTTTCTTTTTTCAAAATTTCTTTAGATCTATTTACTAAATTCAGTATTTAGATTCTTTTTTATTTTTTTTTAAATTTTTAGTATTTAATATTTTTTTATAGGAATAATATATAGAAAAAAATATATTTTTTATATTTTCAATATAAAGAAAAATGTTAAAAATTGAAAAATTATAAAGGTAAAATAATTTTTTCCACAGAATTATTAGAAGAAAATGATAAAAAATGATAAAATTTATATATATTATATATTATAATAAATAATGTTATAATTTAGTTTACACTATTGTTATATTTGAAAATTAATTTCGTAAATAATTTTCATTTTCAAGAATTATACAAGAGAAATTAATTTTCATAAAAATGAAAATTTTCGCCTTTTTTTATGGAAATTTGTAAATACGACGATAATAAATTTTAGAAAAAAACGTAAAAAATAAATAAGTAAATAAGTAAGTAAATAAATAAATAAATAAATAAATAAATAAATAAATAAATAAATAAATAAATGAGGTTGTCTGATCTGTCTTCATTGCTTGATGTAAAGAATAAATTCACACATTAATAATAAATAAAAAAAAGTAAAAATATGAAGTAAATAGTGTAAAATAATAATTACAATTATAAATTAAATTGAAAAAAAAAGCCAACAGCACGCGGTATTCCCAAGCGGTCACCCATCCAAGTACTAACCGCGCCCAAAGATGCTTAACTTCAGTGATCGGACGAGAACTGGTTTTTTCATCATGGTGTGGCCGTTGCCTATGAACTAATTTTCGTTTCTTCCTTACACTAGGCATCCAAATGTGACTAGGTGGTGGGAGAAAGTTCCTAGAGAACTACACTTCCGATTGGTCCATTGAAAACATAACCCAAACCAACCAATAGCGGTAGAACTTTACCTTACCCTCATAAATTGAAACGCGAATCAAAACACAAAGCCGTATTTTCCTGTCAAGACCTGCAAAAGTCAAATAATAACAATAGTCCTGTATTATACTAAAAACGATCTTTTTTAATTTTAAAAAAAAATAATAAAATAAACTTTTAAAAAATGGCTAATACAATTAAATAAACTGTTTTGTGAAAGTAAAAATTCTATTTAATAGTTTAGAAATAAAAGAATTTGTGCATTTATTTAGAAATTTGAAAATAAACAAAAATTTCTTTCCGAATTTTGTGAAAACGGTGAGAGAAAAAATGGGAATAATTCGAATATAATGTAAGTAAGGGAAAAATTTATATACTTAAAAGCAATCTTTTTTGTTTACTAACTAGAAGAATTGATAAAAAAATATTTCCGCACTAAATTTGTTTAAAATCTATTTTCGATTGTAATGTGTTTTTTTTCTCTAATTTGGAGTTTAATATAGAAAAAGAAACGTTGAATATTTAATATTATTTTGTGAAAGTCTTAATTTAATGAGAGAAAATAAAAGAAAGGAAGAATTGTATGAATTGTATAGAAAAATGGAGCAAGGAGCAATAATGTTTTGATTTTTCGAACATAACCTCAAAAGCAAAACAACCATTTTTGAAAATCGTTCATAATTCTTGTGAACTTTGTCACACGTTTTTTTTTCTTCTAGCTTTCTTTTGTATTTATTGCGTGTTTTTGAGTAAATTGATTGAGATTAAATAACTATTTCGTTTCTTTTTTAGAAATTTTGTAACAAAACTGATTTTTCCATACGAAAAATATTGGATAACTGCGCAGAAAATTTTCGAATTGATTTATTTTATTTCTTATTCTTTCGACTTTGAGGCAACGGAAAAAAAGATTTCTGAGAGAAAATTCTAAAAAAAGTTGATTTATTTTTATTGTTTATTTTATTTATTTCAATTATTTTGCTTATTTCAATTTTATTTGGTAGGACTAAAAATTCAACTATTTAAAAGAAAATTAGAATAAAATTCTTTGCAATTCAATTAAATAAAAAAAATGTTAGTAAAATTCGTTATAAGAATTCAATTTATTTTCATAAGTTAATGAAAATTTTCTCTGGTTTTCAATTTTTTTTCAAATACAATTTTTAAATAAATCTCTCGAAATTTAATAATATATGATAATAATTTAATAATTATTGAATTTTATTATTTTAATTTATTTTATTTTATTCTACTTTTTAATTTAGTAATTTTCTTTTCCAGAAATGCGTTATTCGAGAATGAAGCGAAAACAAGAGGAAATATTCCGTTGGAAATAAAAAAGAAGGAACGGAAGTTGAAAAAAAAGGAAGAGCCCTGGAAATTTATTTAAAAAAATGAAGAGAAATACCAGAGAAGAATCGTCATCAATGGACAATAATTTAGAAAAACCTCGTCGAAGTTCGCTTCAAGTTAATCTTTCGTATCTCACAAATTCCCCGGATTCATTTGAAGAATTGTTGAACGATTTTTCGTCCACAATTAATAAACCCATAAGGCGAACGTCATTAAATTTAGAGAAACCCCAAAGGAACCTACCACGAATAATAAGCATCGAGACACGTGGTAATAATTCAGAAACATTCTCAAAAGATAAATTACTCAATGAAAATTGTTCGCAATTACGTTCGGAAATTTTACGTAAAACCAAAGAATTATATCAGAATAATTCCGAATTAATGGAAAAAACCCAACAAGTTCTACAGGAGAAAAAGTCAAATAAAAAATTAGAGAATTTCAATTCCGATTCGGAATTTAAAAAATCTCCGAGTATAAAAATTGTTTTGAAAGAAGACGAACAGCTAACAATGTCAGCGACGAAAAATACAGAGAATTTACTTTCGGTGAAAATAATGAAAAGTCCCCTAACAACGAGGAAAATGGAAACACCGAAAAGTTCTCGATGTTTGCAAATTACGTCGAAATTAAGTAAAGGAGGTGAAGAAAATAATTTACCACGAAAACGTTTATTTGCCGGTTTGGGAAATTTATCGACTAGTCCAATTTTAAGTGGTGCGACGAGTAAAAAACGAGCGAAACATGCTTCGAATTTGGAGAGATTGAAAAATAATTCATTAAAATGCTCATCTATTAATGAAAATTGCGATGATGATCAAAGGCCGAATGATTCGATGGAAATGACGACAATTTCAAGTCATTTGCCAATTGGAACGAGGAATTCTTTTGAAGAAACGGGAAAATGTTCGCAGGACAAAAGAATTATTTCCATGGAACTCACGGAAATTAAGGGGAAAATTTTATCCACTCCCTGGAAGAATGGGGAAAATAATTCGAATTCAAACGATTCACTCACGAATAGAACGTCACTTAATGTTAATACTTCACTGGATCGAACTAGTCAACTTCTGGATATTAAAAATGGGAAAAATAAAAATAGTCGAAAGTCAACAACAAGTTTCGAGGGAAAAAACGGAAACGAAAACGAAAACGAATCGTTCGAAACGGCAAAAAATGATGATCAAGAAGAGAAAAATTCAAGTTTAGGAGAAACGGAAAATTCGCCATTGAACGAAACGGAAAAAAATGAAAATGGAAATAATAGAGAAAATTGCGAAGAAAGCGAAAAAAAATTAATTGGCAAGAGAGTGAGAAATTTTTCCCTAAGTCTAAATGGTCGGGAATTGGGGAAAAGAACGAGAATTGAAGAGGAAAGAACGGGATCAAAAATTGTAAATAATGAGGGGGAAAATTCGCAGACGTCGCCCAAGGGATCGAAAATTGAAAGACCGGAAAATGTGATTTCGAAGAGAAAGAAATTATTCAATTTAGACTCGAAATTGGAGAAATCGGTGGTTATTTTGGAGAGAAATAATGAATCGTTTGAAGGGGGGGAGGATTTTTTGAAACCAAGAACGAGTGAAAGGAGAAAAATGAGATCGTCAGTGATTGAAATTGGGGAAACTAGTCGAGTCGAAGTGACGCCGTATCCAGTAAGTCGTTCCTTCATGTGGAAATCGCAAATTAAACAAAATACGATTGGAAGTCATTCGAATGGTTCTTTGGATAAAAGCGTTTCGTCAATCGATGAAGAGGCGACAGGGAAAAGGAGGAAAAATTCTAAAGAGAAGTAATTTTAACGTTTTTTCGATTATTTTACTAAATTACTATTTAACTAAGTTACATGAACCACAAATTTCGAACATTCAAACGAATGAAATTTTTTTTTTCAATAGAAATAATTTCAAAAATTACTAATTACAATAAAAATGAATTAAAGAATAAAAATTAAGAAACTTTATAATTAAATTTTCTCGATAGTGACGCAAAATTATTTTAATAAAAATATAAGAATGTCGCAAGTTTCTTAATATTAACTAAATGCTGCCAAATGTTGTTGCAACTTTTATAAAAATTCAATTATATTTTCCAAAATATTGAAAAAACTTTTTTAAATTCAATTATTTTTATAAATAAGAAAATTCTTCTCGAAAATTCAATAATTAACACAAAAAAAAAGTTAGTAAAATACTCGTCAGAAATTGAATTATTTTTAAAAATTCTAATAAATTTTTATTAAAAATTCAATTATTTTAAAAAATTATAAAATCCTTGAACAAGTAAAGTATATTAATATAAAATTCTTCAATAAAGAAATTCAATTATTTTTATGAAGAAAACAAATTTCATCTTAAGAATTCAATTGTTTTTCAGGAATCGTAATCAAATTCTTCGGAGAAATTCAATTATTTTCTTGAAAATTTGAAAGATTTTTTTTTTAAATTCTATTATTTTCATAAATAACAGAATTTTCAAGAAAAATTCAATTATTATAAAGAACTTTTAAAAATTCAACGCCATAATTTAATTCTTTTATACAAATTTTGTTTCAAAATTCAATAATTTAAAAAAAATTTTGAGACCCTTTTTAAATTCAATTATTTTTGCATAAATAACAAAATTCTTCTCAAAGATTCAATCAATAATAAAAAATTTAGTAAAATTCTATTTTTAGAAACTGAATTAGTTCAAAAAATTCTAATAATTTTTATTCAAAATTCAATTATTTTAAAAATAATAAAATTTTTCAAATAAAAATTCAATTATTTTTATAAACAATAAACATTCTTCTTAAGAATTCAATTATTTTCCAAAATCTTAATAAAATTCTTTAATAATAAAAATGTAATTTGAAGAGGAATGAAAAAAATTTCGTTTAGTTTAGAATAATAAAAAATAAAAAATCCGCTAATAATTGAAATGAAGAATTTAAAATTTTTCTGGAATTTTTCACAAAATAATTGTCAATCATCAACAAATCTTTTGACAAATTTTTAATAAAATTCTTTGAAACGATTCAATTATTTAAAAAAAAATTTCTAAAATTTTTTTAGAAAGAATTTAATTATTTTCTCAAATAATGAAATTCTTTGATGAAATTCAATTATTTTTAATATTTACAATTTTAATCGAATTTCACAAAAGAATTTATTTATTTTAAATAAAGAAATTTTTAATAAAATTCTTTGCAAAAAATCAATTTTTTAAAATACAATTTTTATAAATAATACCTACAATTTTCACAAAAATTAAATTATTTTAAATACCTACCTAGCTACAATTTTCGAGAAGTTTTTTTTAAATTAATAAATTAAAAAATTTTTTAATAAAATTCCTAATTTTTTAGAATTTTGATAAAATTTGTTTATAAAAAATTATTTATTTTCAAAAAAAATTGTAATTAGTTTCCTCAAAAGAATTTAATTGTTAAAAAAAATTTTTTAATAAAATTCTTTGCAATTCAATTATTTAACAAAATGTTAATAAAATTCGTTGCAAGAATTCATTTATTTTCATAATTAAAAAATAATTAAATTATTCGCTGGATTTCAATTATTTTGAATACATACAATTTTAAAGAAATTCCTCGAAAAATTCAATTTTATTAAAATTCTTGTAAAGAATTTAATTATTTTTTAAAAATTTTTGATAAAACTTGTTTTTTTAAATTCACTTATTTTCAATACGATTTTAATTATTTACCTTAAAAATAAATTTTAATTATTTTCAAAATTCTTAATAAGAAATTCTACATATAAATTTTTAATTATAAAAAAAATTACATTAAAGTTTTTTGTAATTTAATTATTGAAAAAATATTATAATAAAATTCTTTGCAATTTCATTATTTAAAAATTGTTAATAACATTCGTTGCAAGAATAACAATTATTTTTATAAATAATAAAATTCTCTGGAGAATTGCAATAATTTATTACAATTTCTAATAAATTTCTTGAAAAAATGCAAATTTTATTAAAATTCTTGGAAATAATTCAATAAATTTCAAATTTTGATAAAATTTGTTTATAAAAGTAGATTTATTTTCAATACAATTGTAATTATTTTCCTAAAAAAGAATTTAATTATTATTTTCTAAATTCTTAATACAAAATTTTGCAAAAAAATTCAATTATTTAAAAGAAATTTTAATAAAATTCGTTGCAAGATTTTGAAATCTTGCAATTTTATTTTTATAAATAATAAAACTCTTTTCAGGATTTCAATTATTTTTAATACAATTTTAAATATATTCCTTGAAAATTGCAAATTTTATTAAAATTTTTTGAAAGAGTTCAATTATTTTTTTTTAACTTTTGTTAAAATACTGTATAAAAATTCAATTATTTACAAAAATATTAAATTTTTTCACAGGAATTCAATTATTTTCAAATATTTTAATAAAATTGATGGAATGAAATCAATTATTTTAAATACAATTTTGATTACATTTTTGTGAAATAATTCAATTATTCTTTTAGATTTTAATAAAATTCTTGACAGGAATTCAATTATTAGAGATAAATTATTCCCGAAAATTCAATTATTTTGAGCGATTTTAATAAAATTCTTTGCAAAATTCAATTATTTTCATAAATAATAAAATGCTTTTTAGGAATAAATTCAATTATTGTAAAAATTTGTAATAGAATTCTTTGTAAAATTTAATTATTTTTAAAAACTTTTCGCACATCAGTGATTTTCAATTATCTACTAGTTTTATCAAATTTCCAAACAGAATTTAATTATTTAGAATTTTTTTTGTAAAAATCTTCATAAGAATTCAATTCTTTTCTTGAATAATAAAATTTCCTCTGGAATTCAATTATTTAAATTAGAATTTGCATAAAATTAGTCGAAAGAAATGAATTATTTAAAAATTTCCAGGAATTGAATTTATTAGCAGAATAAGAAAGAAGTAAATATTTTTGATGAAAATTAGGAAAATAAAATAATAATTATTCATATTGTAATTTTAATAACAAATTTTGTAAATTTTCCAGACACCCAGCTTTGGATAGTTCGGAGTCAGACACAGAATCACAAAAAAGAAATACCTCTAGAGAATCAGCACGTCGTCGTAGAATAAGTGAGACGAGCAGTAAAAGTAGTTTAAAAAATAATGACACATTAAATGAATCAACAACATCAACATCGTCGGCATTATCGTCAAAAATGAAAAAAAAGAAATTATATCCCCTACGTGGGCATTCGGGACTATTAACAATGAGTCCAATGAATACTCCAACGCCAAAGGCAAAAGTCATAAAAAAACATCGTAAAAATGTGAAATGGCAAAAAATGAAGGAAACACAACGTACGCAGAGATTGGAAAGAACACAATTAAAAAACACGGACACCGATGAATCGAATACTGAAGATTTAGAGGAAGAAATTGTCGAGGTGCCGAAAAAACCGAAAAGAACGAGAAAAATTGTGAGCAAGAAAATAATATTTAAAAAGAAATTGCCAATTGATAATAATGAGGAAAAATTGATTGACAAGGGGAAAAGAAGAGGGAGGAATTTAATTAAGAATTGTGAATTCTCGGAGAGTCGAAGGAGTTCAATGACTGATTTTGAACTTGTTGAGGAGAAGGAGCAGAGGAAGAAAAGCAGTAAACGAGTTCATATTGTTACGACCGGTTTTTCTAATGGGTAAATTTGAGATTTATTTTTTTAATTTTTGATTTTTTATTTTACCGCCTTTTGGAATTATTTTCTTGGGAAATAATACTAAAGTACGATAAAAATTATAAAATATATTATAACCACTAATATTACTATTCTTTCTACTATTTTTACTATTATTACTATTATTACTATAATAATAATTCATTTTATTTATTTATTTATTTATTTAATAATAATTAATTTTTATTATTTCCAGGGACAAGAGTAAAGTGAAGAATGTTGTGAAAGAATTGGGCAAAGCGGAAATTGAATCGAACGTTACGCGTAAAACGACACACGTAATTAGTACAGGTGTACGAACAATTAATTTATTAAAAGGAATTCTTCGTGGTTGTTGGCTCGTGAGTTTAGAATGGGTTCTAAAATCGCAGACTGCGGGAAAATGGATCAATCCCGAGCCTTTTGAATTGGCACATTTCTCGGAATCCGTCAAGGTATTTTCTTTTACCCTTTTTTATCCCCTTAAATTAATTTAAACAAATTCTAATTTAAAGAATTGAATTCCAAAGGAATTTTTATTATTCGTGAAAAGAATTGAATTTTTACAAAAAATTTTTTAAATAATTGAATTTTGTATGGAAATTTTATGAAAACCTTTGCTACAATTTATTTATTAGAATTTAAGTAATATTTTCTATAAAGTTTTAATTAAATTTATTCAAAAAATTAAATTATTTTCAAAAATTTTAATGAAATTCTTTGTAATAATTCAATTTTTTTTTTCAAAATAATTTTAATAATTTCAAAAATTTGTCAAAATTAAATTATTTTCAATGTGTACTATTTCAATAAAATTTCATAAAAGAATTCAATTATTTAAAAAGAGATTTTAATAAACTTCGTCTCAAGAATTCAATTATTTTCAAAAATTAATATAATTCTTCGCAGAATTTTAATTGTGTTCAACAATTTACAAAAATTCTCGTCAAAATAATTTCAATTAATCTTTATAAATTTTTCTCCAAAATTTAATTATTTTCTAAAATTTTTAATAAAATTTTTGGCAAAATTTCCATTATTTTCAAAAACTCTTATAAAATTCTTTGGCGAGAAATTAAATTATTCTTAATTAAAATTTTAATCAAATTTCCGAAAAATGAACTTATTCTTAAAATTTTTATTAAAATATGTCAAGAGAATTCAATTAATTAAAAAATTTGTTTACAAAATTCAATTTCAAGAAACATTCCATTATTTAATAAAATATTTATTTGCATTTTATTTGTATTTAAATAATTGAATTCTCATGGATTTTTTTTTAGTAAATATTGATTTTTCAAATGAATTTCAGTTAAAATTTTAGATTATTATGGAATATTGAAAGCAATGTAGCGTAAATTTTTAGAAATAATTGAATTTTCTACAAGTTTTATTTTTTGTAATTGAATTCTTTTCAAGAATGTTATTAAAATAATTGAATTCTTTTGAGAAATATTGTATAAAAAATAATTGAATTGCTGCGAAGAATTTTAATATTTATGAAAATAATTGAATATTTTTGACGAAAATTTTAAAATAATTTTGAAAACAATTAAATTTTCTACAATTTTCTATTTTCTTTTTTGTAATTTAATTCTTTTCTAACATTTTATAAAAATAATTGAATGTCTAAGTGGCATTTTATTAAATTTTTTTTGAAAATAATTAAATTTCTAAAAAGCATTTTTTTATTAAAAAAATTTTTGATAAAAATTGAATTTCTAGGAAGAAATTTTATTACTTTTGAAAATAATTGAATTCTTCTGATGAATATTGTTATTTAAGAATTTATTTATGAAAATAATTGAATTTTGCAAAGAATTTTATTAAAATGCCTTAAAAAATAAAAATAATAAAAATAATTAAAATAATTGAATTCCTGAGAAGAATTTTGTTATTTATAAAAATAATTGAATTCTTTCCAAGGATTATTTCTGAAAATAATTGAATTTTTGTAACTAATTTTAGTAAATTTGTTTAAATAATTGAAAACTTGTGAAAAATTGTATTATTTGTAAAAATAGTTGAATTCTAGCGAATGTTTTTGTTAAAATTTAATTAAATAATTCTGCTTTTTTGGAAAAGTTTAATTAAAATTGTATTGATTATTGAAAATAATTGAATTCCTGAGATAAATTTTACTATTTACAAAAATAATTGAATTTCTCGCGAAAAAATTTATTTTATTATTTATGAAAATAATTTATTATTTGCAACGAATTTGAGTAAAAAATAATTTTTTAAATAATTGAATTTCTGTCAAAAAAATTTTAATTTTTTAAAAAATTTTATTAAAATAATAGATATTGAAAATAATTGAACTTCAGCGAAGAATTTTATTATTTGTGAAAATAATAGAATTCTTGTGGAAAACTTTATTTGTGAAAATAATTGAATTTTTCCATTATTAATTAATTTAAAATAGTATTAAAAATAATTGAAATTCTTCGATGAGTTTTATTATTTATGAAAACAATTGAATTCTTGCTTAGAATTTTATCGAAAATTTTTTTTATAAAAAATTGAATTTCCATGAAAAATTATGTTATTATTAGTGAAAGTAATTGAATCGAAAAAAAGGAGAATTTCTTTTTTTGTATTTTTAAGAAATTTATCTATATAGCGACTTTACTGTTTCATTCTTTAATTTTAATTAAAAATTCTCGTCCACAAAATTTTTCTAAAACAGAAAATAATTATAATATAAACATTGAAAAAACGAACTATTTTTTTTGTATCACACCAGGAAAATCGACGAGAACGACAAATATTTGGCAATGCCTATGTACCTGAATTATTTCTCAATTGTGGATTAATTCACGTCAACGGCGGCACAAATCCCTCGCCTCCAATACTCAAGGACTTGATAAAATTAGCCGGCGGTCAAATAACAGAAAATCCAAAAGAGGCAAAAATTAAAATTGGATCCAACGGTCTGAGGGAAATTTGGATTTTGGATTCGATAACCAGTGGAAAAATTCAACCGGAAAAACAATATCGTCAAAGAACATGATTGTATTTCATTTATTTGGTGTTTATTCTTTTCTCAGTTTGTTTGTTTGGTACAAAAAAAATATTGTACTTATTGTATAGAAATAGTTTTGCTTTTTTCTTGTTGTATAAATTATTGTTATTATTAGCTTAGCTATTGCATTTATTAGTCTCTAAGATTCTCAATTATTATCATATAATTGTATCGGAAAAAAGAGTTTAAAAGTTAATAATTTATATTTTAGAGAATAGAATTAATTATATTTTGCTATAATTATTACTCTGTAAATGAAATTGCGATATTAGAAATGAATTGCGATATAAGTCTTTAAAAAAAAAGAGAGTAAATATATTTTTGTCTTGTAAAAAACTGTTTTCTTCTTTGTCAATTATAAAGGCACTCGAAATTCGTCTTCTTTGGTTTTTGTTTCTTAATTAAAGGCTTTTTTTTCGTTTTCAGAGAAATTTCCGTCTCGAAAAAATTCTTCTTCGCATTTTTTTCCCTCGTTTGGCAAGAGTTTGAAAATTTTTTCAAAAGAAGAATTTTTTTTCTTTTTCCTTTTGGAGAATTGAATTCTTTTTCTTTTTGGAGAATTGAATTTTTTTTCTTTTTCCTTTTGGAGAATTGAATTCTTTTTCTTTTTGGAGAATTGAATTTTTTTTCTTTTTCCTTTTGGAGAATTGAATTCTTTTTCTTTTTGGAGAATTGAATTTTTTTTCTTTTTCCTTTTGGAGAATTGAATTTTTTTTCTTTTTTTTTGCCAAAATGCAGAAAGAAATTCTCACTCCTCGGTGGATGGTCGATAAATGGAGACAAGGCACAATACGGCGATGATTAATTCAGAGGTGAGTAGAGCAATTTGAATGCTGCATAAAATAACTTCCAAACGCAGTGTATAATGTTGCCAGAGTAAAAAATAGAGTGTAACAAATGAACTTGGAACTGTGAGTGCAATTGCGAGGAGAAATAATAAGCCGCGTTCCATTAAATTCCCCTTACGGCCAAGATAAATGCGTCCCGCTTCAGTACTGAGGAGAAATAATAGCAGGGCAAATTCAATTAATAATTTATTAGTGCCCGGCGATGGGAGATTTGCAGCTTTATAAATTCCCATGCAAAGTTCACAGGTGGCGAACATACCAAAGTAAAATGAATTTAGATACATGAGAATTTCGTAGGTTAGCGGTGTTGATATTGCGGACGGCATTCTTTTTTCTTGAATTCTGCAAAAATAGAAAAGAAAAAATTTTTATTTCTTTATATTATCATTTTTTTTTGTAAGTGTATAATTGGAAAATAATTATAATTTCAGACAAGTAAGTAAAAATTCTAAATAATTAATTAAGACAAAAAGTTATATATAAAATAATTCAATTCGATAATCTAAAATAATTGAAATTTAAGACAAAAAGTTAAATAAAATAATTGAAGTAAAATGAATTCAATTATATTTAAAATAATTGACTCAAAAAAATTGGATTCAATTGAATTCTCTTATTTTAAATAATTAAAAATTTAAACTTGAATTCAATCATATTAAATAATTGAAAATTAAACTTGAATTTGATATTTCAAAATAATTGAAAATTAAACTTGAATTCAATTATTTTAAATAATTGGAATTTAAGACAAAAATTTACATAAAATAATTGAATTCAATAATTTTTTAATAATTGAAATATCAAATTGAATTCGATATCTCAAAATAGTTGCAATTGAAACTTGAATTCAATTATTTTAAATAATTGAAAATTGAAAAAAAAAAGTTACATAAAATAATTGAATTCGATATTTCAAAATAGTTGAAGTTTCAAATTGAATTCAATATTTTAAAATAATTGAAATTGAAACTTGAATTGAATTATTTTAAATAATTGAAAATAAAACTTGAATACAATATTACAAAATAATTGAAAATGAAACTTAAATTCAATTATTTTGAATATTTGAAATTTAAGACAAAAAGTTAAATAAAATAATTGAATTCAATAATTTGAAATAATTGAAATTTCAAATTGAATTCAATTATTTCAACAAATTTAAATTTAAGAAAAAAAAGGTTACATAAAACAATTAAATTTACAATTGAATATAATTAAATTCGTTAATTTAAAATAATTGACATTTAAAATTAAATTCGATAATGTAAAATAATTGCCATTTAAAATTTAATTTGATAATTTAAAATAATTGACATTTAAAATTAAATTTGATATTTTAAAATAATTGAAATTTAAAATTGAATTCAATTATTTAAAAATATTGAAATTTATGACAAAAAGTTACAAAAAATAATTGAATTCCCTTCTTTAAAATAATTGAAATTTAAAATTGAATTACATTGAAATCAATTATTTTAAATAATTGAAATTTGAGACAAAAAGTTACATAAAATAATTGACATTAAAAAATTGGATTCAATATTATTTAAAATAATTGAAATTTAAGACAAAGAGTTACTTAAAATAAATGAATTTACAATTGAATTAAATTAAATTCGATAATTTAAAAAAATTGAAATTTCAAATTGAATTAAATTGAATGCAATTTATTTAAAATAATTGAAATTTAAAAGGAAATTAAATTGAATTCCGTTATTTAAAATAATTAGGATTAAAAAATTGGATTCAATTGTATTCTTTGATTTAAAATAATTGAAATTTTAAACTGAATTAAATTATTTAAAATAATTGAAATTTAAAAATTGAATTACATTGAATTCAATTATTTAAAATAATTGAAAATTAAAATTGAATTACATTATATACAATAATTGAACTTTAAAATTAAACTCCCCATCATTTAAAACAATTAGAATTTTAACTAAATAATTATTTTAAATAATTGAAATTTTATAAAAGAATTATTTTCAAATTGAATTTCTTGAAATAATTGCAACTTTCTTAAATTTGAATTTTGTAATTTAATAAGAATTGAAAAAAATTAAATTCATAAAAAAATTTTAAACTTAAACGTTGAACAATATAAAATCATTGAAATTATTTTAAATTTAAATTTAAAAAATTGAAGATAAATAATAATTTCAAAATAATTGAAATTCAATTAATGAATTGAAATTTTATAAATAGAATTGAATTTTCAAAAAAGATTATTTGTAATATTATTAAAAAATTTATTTTTTTAAAAATTACAAATTTTCTATTTGAATTTGATTAAAATTTAAGTTTTGATTATAATTAATTTTTCTTTTTAAATATAATTGAAATTTTGTTAAAACTGTATTTTAGAATCTATCAAAATTTTTTATTTTAAAGTTGAATTTGAAATTTTAATAAAATTGATTTCGTTAAAAAAAATTTTCAATTTAAACTTTATTAATTTCAAGTAATTGAAAATAATTGAAATTTCATTTAAAATTAAAATTTTCCTAATTATATTGAAATTTTACTATAAATTTAATTATTTAAATTAATATTTATTAATAAATAATAAATATTATAATAATAAATAATTTAATTATAAAATTTTCATTTTCGAAATTTTCATAAAATATTGATTTTCTATATAAAATAAAAAAATTAAAAAAGAATTTAAAAATTATAATTTTATTTATATTTAAATTTTCAGTCGTTAAAAATAGATAATATTTTTTAAAAATTATAATTCTTTTCTTAACCTTTTTTTTCTCTATTTTTATTTTTAATTTTTGTATGAGAAATTTTAAAATAGAAAAAGCAAAAAAAAAAAAACAAAACAAATACAAAAGTTCTAGGTTAGAAAATCGAGTTCTTGGAAAAAGTTTTACCGCGACAATGCTTGAAAAAATCGCAGGTATTGTAGAATAAATAACAAGTAAATTACAACAATTGCGAAAGAAATTGTAATAATCAATTCTTGTAGAAAAAAAAAGAATATCGATTGTAAATTTTTTCTGTGTTTATACTATATATGTATATACGAAATTATCGTTACCTAGACTACAGAATTCTATCAAATTTCCAAACTCGAATTCTCAGCATACAAAACAAATCCTCATTTTCACTTGTCTATATACTATTTTCGTTTATTCATTTTCCTTCCAAAAAATCCCCCGCGTATTTTTCCATAGAAAATAAAGCGAAAAATACCGATAGCAGGACCGATGGTAAAAAAAACACAAATTCTATTTTAAACTCGAGGCTCAAAATATGCTTAAAATTAACCCGCGTTCCGCGTTTGTTTTTTGTGCGTAAAAAAAAAATAATTTTTTAACTGTTCCTTTAGTACCAATTTCTCTCACTCGTGGCGCTTTTTTTGTTTTCTTAAGCGCCGTTCACTGGTTCACAATTTTCACAATTTAATTCATTTCCTTTTATTTTCGAAAGAAAAATTACTGCGGAAAAGAAAGTTTCGCAGTAAAATTCCTCCTCTTTTTACAATTTTATTAATTTCCTTTTATTTTCGAAAGAAAAAACTTCGAGAAAAGAAAGTTTCGGAATAAACTTGCTCCTTATTGGTTGAGACCGTTGAGAAAAATGTCCGTGTGTCGAATAGACCAATCAGGTGTTAGTTTTGAACGAGTCTCTGAAGGATTAAAAGTAGGGGGGGAGGGAGAGAAAAAAACTCGGAAAATAGCGATCCAACCTTGGGATAACGAATAAAATTAATAAAATCACAATCCAACTTTGGGATAACGAATAAAATTGAATAAAATTAATAAAATCGGGAATAAAATCAATAAAATTGATAAAAGTCGTCAATTCTGTTGACACTACACGTGATTGGTTAATTACATTCGAATAAATAATAGAAGCGACCAATCACGTGTTAGTATTCTTAAGAGTCTCTATAGGATTTAAAGAATACACCAATCACGTGTTAGTATTTCCAAAGAGTCTCTAAAGGATTAAAAGAACCCACCAATCACGTGTTAGTACTTCTAAAGAGTCTCTAAACGATTAAAAGTTGTAGTAAAGACAAAAAAAATAATTCCCAACGATCCAACCTTGCGCTAACCAATGAAATTTGCCCTTTCCATTGACATTGAACCCGATTGGTTAATTACATTTCCACTAAGTAATCGATTCTTCAATAAAATTGTAAAATGCGCATCAGCCACGATGAAAGTTTAGTGAATAAGACTTTACAGGGGGTAAACGCTCAATACGGACGACGCCAGTGTCTGCCAAAGTGTCAGGTGTCAGTCAGTCAGTCATTCTATGTCACAGTAGTAGTCGTGCTCCGTTTTTCTTAATAAAAAAAAGAAAATTATTACAAGTGTTTTTTCATTAAAAAAAAAAATAAAAACTAAAAGTCCAACAGAGAATTTATTATTATAAAATAAACCATTAAATAATTAAAATCAGATTAATTCTCCGTTTAGACGATAAAAGCTAAAAGAAATATCTTTGTTTTTCTAGTTTTTCTTGTGAAACCTCTTTATTAAAAGCAAAAAAATAATAATGTCCGAGAAGAAAGGTAACTATATAAGCAATATTTATCGCGTTGCGTCACGAATTATTATTATTACGGGGAAAAAGAGAGATTTTTCATTTTTTTTTTTTTTTGTTAGAAATTGAATATTTTTTTTGTTTCGGTGTGTTCTTTTTGAGAAAAAAGAGAATTTCGCGATGATTCCATTTTGTTATTTTCTCTATATTGAAAACCAGAAGGAAATCCAGAAGCACTTGTCAAATTTCTTTATTTTACCCACCCTGTGCCCCTCCCCCCCTCGTTTAATCTTTCGTGAATCGTTTCTAATTAATAAATAAATAACAAAAAGAGAAAGAGAGAGAAAAGTATTCTCCGAAAATTGTTTTGTGCATAACTTTCATGATGATCATGAAAAAGGGATAGTTTTTGCGTGTCGTTTCGTTTTGTTAAATTTTAGGCGTGTTTTTTGCTTCTCGATCTGGAGAATTATTTGGGAAAAATTGTTTTTTTTTGGCGCTTTTTATTGGTTCTTTCGGTTTTTTTGTCTTTTGGAAGAAAGAAATGGGAAATAATTGAGTTTCGTCCTAGTGACAGATTAATCAATACGGTCCTCTTTCATTCTCTCTCTCTCTTTCTCTTTCTGTCTCCTCTGTGTGTATGGGAAATACAAAATGGCCACCGTTTCATGTATCAAACTTCTAGTCCTTTCGTGCTTTCGCTTTTTTTTACTTTTTCGCTATTTATGATTAGTAAAAAAGAATTTTAATTGTCAAAAATTTAAAATGACGAATCATTTTTTATGAGAAATTTAAAAAAAGTGACGCGCTTTTGAAAAATTGTTATTTTTTTTTTTTTTTGTTAATTTTTTGATAATTTTCTCGAAAATGGAGAAAACAAAAAAAAAAAAAAAAGAAAGAAAAGAAAGATAATACAATTGTCGACAAAAATTGTAAACAATTATTATTATTATTGTTTATTGAGAATTGTTTCGCAATTATTATTGACGTTTTGTTTTGTTTTCTGGTTTTTGTTAATTTGTTTTGTTTTTTTAATAAAAAACTTTCTAAATGAAAATAATATTAAAATTAAAACTAATAAATAATAAAAATATTTAAATAATTAAAATAAATAAATATTCTAATATTTCTAATATTTTCTAATATTTATTATTATAAACTATGAATATTAATTATTATTATTATTTTTATTATTCTTTATAATTAAAGAATAATAAAGAATAATAAATTCTTTATTATTTGCACATAAATAAAAATTAATTTACTCTTTATAAAATATTAATTATAAACATAATTATAACTATTTTCTATAAATGGAAATTTATTTTCATTTTATTAACAATAAATTTATTAATAAAGAAATAAATAGTTTTTTTGATAATTTAGCAAAAAAAAAAATATAAATAAAATTGAATTGTAAATAAAAACAAATAATTAAAATTGAATAATAAATAAAAATAAATAAATAAAATTGAATAGTAAACAAAAATAAATATTTAAAATTGAATAATAAATAAGAATAAATTAATAAAGTCCAATAATAAATTAAAAGAAAAAGTCATAAATTTTATTTTTTAATAAATAAAATAATTTATTTTTATTTTTTAATTAATTTGTTTATTTATTTAATTATTTTTAAAAAGTGGAAGCAAAGAAGGATTAAAGTTTATTATTATTATGAAACGTTGGCTTTGAAAAAACAGAAATAAATAAATAAAAATCACTTTTTTTTGCATTAATAAATAAAATTAAAAATTCCGCCAAAAGAAAATCGATGGAAAAAGAAAAATAATATCACTAATTTTTTGTTACGTTTTTTTCTGTATTTTATCGCTTTTCCTATTTTCCATGCATGAATTTTACCTTTAGTTGCGAACTTTAAGGTCGACCTCGACCTCATAGAATTCGATAAAAAAAAAATCGATTTTAAAAAAAGATGAAAATAAATTTTAAAAATTATAAAATAGCAACCAAAATATATTTAAAAATCAATATTTAGAAAGAAAATACTTTTTTTGGAGAAAAATTAAAACAAAACAATTTTAATAACAATTATAAAATTAACTTATTATAATTATTATTTCTTTTAGGGTTAATTAATTTTTCATTAGAAAATAAACTTATTATTTATTAAATTAATTGATATTTATAATTAATGATTAAGAATTAATAATTGATAATTAATAATTGAAAATTGATAATTAATTTTTCCGTATTAATTATTTTGATAAAATTTTTAAATTATTTTAATTAATTAATAATAATTAAATATAGTAATTTTGTTAAAATTTAAAAAAAAATTTTTTTGTTTAAATTTTTCTAGTTTTAAGGGGAGGTCAAAATTGATGCTATTTTTCCTTTGAAGCTTTATGGAAATATCTGATCAACTTTGAAGACCCCTTAAAATTATAGAATGCATTGCACTTGAAATATTTTTGGTTGCAAAAATTTTTTTTTTAATTTCTATCAATAATATTCGTTAGGTACTTTTTTTAAGTATAGAAAAAAATCCGCAAATCTCTGGAAGCCAATTTTAAGAATTTAAGTCGATAGTTATTAAAATTTTATCAAGAAGACAATTCTCTAGAAAAGTAAAAAAAAATCTAATATTTAATTATTTGTTGAAAAAAAAATTTATTGTTGGAATTGAATTTTTCCAAATTTTTTTTTTTAATTCGTATTCATTTAATTGGAAAAGAAAATTTTAAAGAAATTTTTTTCGCTTTGATTGTTGATTTTAAAATGCAATTTTGAAAAAAAAAAATTTTTATTTGCATTAAATTTAAAAAAACAGAAATTTTTGCCAGAAAAAAATGAAATTTTTACCCTAAAAAATAAAATTTTGCTGAACATAAATTTTATCTGGAGGGAAATATTTTATTTTAATTTTAATTTGGAAAAATTGAAATTTTAAAAAATCTTTAACAAAAAAGGGAAAAAGAGAATTGTTTTCTTTGTGTATATCAATTTTGACTAAATATTAAATCAATTTTTTATACACGAATAATGTAATTAAAATTCTAGTATGTGAGGAAAAAAACTTTTTTTTTCAAAATACGATTTTAAATATAATGCAAATTTAACGGAAAAAATTCTCAAAAAAATTAATTTAATATTCGATATTTATTAATTAGCAAAAAAATTTTTTTTTATTTATTTTCTACAGAAATAATTTTGAATTTTATTTTATTTGTTATTTTTCCACAAATTTTTGATGAATATCCTAAAAAATGTCATTAAGAAAATAATAAAAAATAATAATAAAATATTAACTGTTATAAAATTTCGAAAAAACTGCTTTTTAACGTTAAAGAGAAATTAATTAAAATTATTTTCTTTATTATTAAAAAAAAAAATGTAACAAATAATTTTGTTTTTCAATTTGTCACAAACTTCACAAAATTATAGTCTAATTTGGAAAAGAAATGAAAAGAAAAACTAAATAATAGTAAATTTTGTTGTACGTCGAAAAACTTCGGCCCCAGCTTAAAATCGTGGCTTTAAAAACGATTTTTCTCAAAAATAACCGAATATTAAGTGTTAATTTTTCAAAGAAACTTAGTTTACACCACAATTATCAATTTTTGAAAGTTTCAACACATTTTGAATGCAAAATTTGTTTAGAAAATAATAAAAATAAATTTGTTTAAACTACTGATTATTAAAAAAATGTAAAAATAATTATTTTTTCTAAATTTTTCACAAATTTCTTAACTAAATTATAGTCTCATTTTGAAAAGAAACAAAAAGCAAAACTAAATAATAGCAAATTTTTGTTGTACGGCGAAAGAGAGGAAAATTCGGCCCAAGCTTAAAATTGTTTCATTAAAAACGAATTTTCTCAAAAATGACCGAATATTAAGTATTAATATTTCACAAAAAGTTTGTTTCCACCACAATTATCAATATTTGAAAGTTTCCTGACTATTTGAATGAAAAAAATTCTGTTTAGAAAAGAAAGAAAATTACAAAAATTAATTTGTTAAAACTATTTATTAAAATAAAACATTTTCTTTTTTCAATTTGTCACAAATTTCTTAATTAAATTTTATAATCTCATTTTGCAAAAAAAGGAGAAAGAAAAATTGAAAAATAAGACTTTTTTTTGTACTTTTAGTTAAAAGTAAAATTCGTCCCCAACTGAAATTCGGGTAATTAAAAACGAAATTTCTCGAAAACAACCGAATATTAAGTGTTAATATTTTATAGAAACTTTCTTTATACCACAATTATCAATTTCTAAAAGTTTAATTTCATTTTTAGTTTCATTTGTTTATAAAAAAGGAAAAGTTATAAAAATTGAAAATAAAAAAAAATCGATTTTTACTTTTTTTTTGAGAATTTTCCAAAGTTAAAAATTTTGAAGCGAAGTATTTATGGTGTATCCAGAGCGTTAATAAACAAATTACTTCGCTTCTATTTTATGCATAAATAATATTTTATAAATAAATAAATTATATAGAAAAAGATATTTTAATAAGTATAAATATATAGAAAATAAATATATAAATAAGTAAATATATGGAAAAGTAAATATACAAAGAAGTAAATATATGGAAAAGTAAATATATAGAAAAATGAATATACAAAGAAGTAATTATATGGGAAAGTAAATATACAAAGAAGTAAATATATGGAAAAGTAAATATATAGAAAAATAAATATATAAAAGTAAATATAGAAATTAAATATTTAGAAAAAATACAAATGAGTAAATATGTAAATTAATAAATTACCGAGTGAAAAGTAAATACTTAGAAAATCCTAGTTTTAAGGTTATCTAGTTATTAAGTTACAAATTTTGGGTTATAAAAAAAAATTCGGTACTTGCGCTAACCCTGAGAGCGAACGTGTGGTGACCCCTTTTGAAAAATGCAAAAAAAAAAAAAAAAAAAAAAAAAAAATTGGGGAATTTCTCACCGAGAGTAGCCCGGGTCTTTTGGTGGTAGAAATATTGAAACGAGGATAGCGGCTACAGTTGTGGCTATCGATATGTTTGCAGCGGACCATTACAAAGACGATTTGATC